ATGGTTGAGTTTTAATCTAAATTACTTATCCGAAAATACATTGTTATATTGTGCTGCATTAGTATACAAGGTGCTGAACCATTAAAAATCAAATTGTTTTTTTTTTTTGGTAAAATGAAAAGAAATAAACCCAAATTGTTGCACAATAGATTCTCGATATATTGAGTTAAGCTAGATCAAATCAAGTTGGTTGTTTTGGTTTTCGAACTACTAATTGATCAAACAAAGAGCTAAATTAAATACCGGAACAAGTAGGCAAGCAATTGAGCAACAAGAAAAACAAACAAGTGAAATATTAATCAATTTCTAAGAAGTGGATCAAAAGGATTAATCTCAGGGAGCTGAGAACACATGATCATGTATTTCTGTTAATACTCTCTCAATATACTTACCGTTTTACCTTGAAATACTAAACTTTCATTTGCAATCAGCCAATCACGATAGCAAGTAAGCATTATAGAATTTAAGAATGCTTAAGAACTCAACTTATAAAGAATAACTCTCTTTATTAGCTTAAGAAAATAACTCAAAACTTAAGCTCTCTAAACTCTAACTCATAAGTTATGCAACACTTTTGCATCTCCTTATATAATGACCTATTTCCTTTTCCTAATTAGAACTATATATTTCCTTATAGATAACTCTTAACATATATTAGATAACTCCTAACATATTTCTAATCCTAATAGGAAATATCCAAACTCATTCTAGAATGTTCATCTTCAAGCTTAAGTCAACATTCTCCCCCTTAAGCTTGAAGTCTTTACTTGAAACTTCTTGTACTCCAATAAGATCTCGCATCTCCTTGAATCTGATTCTTCCTAAAGCTTTTGTTAAGATGTCCGCCTTTTGCTCACTACCAGGAATGTGCTCCACTTCAATTTGCCCATTCTCAACACATTCTCTTATGAAATGGTATCTTGTGTGAATGTGTTTGCTTCTTCCATGAAACACTGGATTTTTTGTAAGTGCAATAGCTGATTGGTTATCAATCTGAATGAGAACCTTTTTACTTTCAGATTTAGTGATCTCACCGAGTAAGTCCTGAAGCCAGATAGCCTGTCTTGCTGCTTGTGTTCCAGCCATAAACTCTGCTTCACAAGAAGACAATGCCACGGTTTCCTGCTTTTGAAAGCACCAAGATATTGGACTTTTACCAAGATAGAAGATGTGTCCAGTTGTGCTCTTACCGTCATCAGGGTCAACATTGTGGCTGCTGTCGCTGTACCCTATCAGTCTTGGTACTCCGGTGGTTGAGCGCTTGAACACAAGACCAAACGTAGAGGTTCCCTGTAAATACCTTAGACAATGCTTCATCGCTGCACCGTGTGACTCTTTCGGTTTTTGCATATACCGACTTAAAACACCTACACAGTAGGATAAATCAGGTCTTGTGTGAAGCAGGTATCTGAGACAACCAACTTTCTTTCGATACTGTGTGGCATCAATGTCCTTTTCAGCTTCTGATTTTGACAGTTTGAGTCCAGGATCCATTGGAATGTGAGCTAAGTTACAACTTCTCATCCCAGCTTCTTCTAGGATCCTTAGTGCATAACGTCTTTGACACAGCGTGATCCCTTCTTCAGTTTGACACACCTCTATCCCGAGATAATACGTTAGCCTTCCGAGATCACTCATTTCGAATTTCGACGCCATCTGCCTTTTGAATTCATAGATGTTCTTCGTGTTTGTTCCTGTGACGAACAAATCATCGACATAAACTGCAACCAAAAGAAGATCCTCTTTTATCATTCTCCGATAAACAGAAGAAACACTAAGTTCTTTAGGTTTAGTTATAGGAACGAGGTCTCCCATGGTTTGATAGCTAATGATCTTCGTGGTCGTTGATTATGAGATGTTGTGGTCGCCGATTTTGATCCTTTCAAAGCTCTGATACCAATTATAGAATTTAAGAATACTTAAGAACTCAACTTATAAAGAATAACTCTCTTTATTAGCTTAAGAAAATAACTCAAAACTTAAGCTCTCTAAACTCTAACTCATAAGTTATGCAACACTTTTGCATCTCCTTATATAATGACCTATTTCCTTTTCCTATTAGAACTATATATTTCCTTATAGATAACTCTTAACATATATTAGATAACTCCTAACATATTTCTAATCCTAATAGGAAATATCCAAACTCATTCTAGAATGTTCATCTTCAAGCTTAAGTCAACAAGCATTAGTCACAAATTATACGTTTACAAATTTTTTTAACATCAATTATTATTGGCAGAGTCAGTAATACTCATCTACAGTTGGTTCATGCATTTTTCTGATCCTTTTTTTATAAGCACAAGTTACCTTAAATCCTTCAACTATACAAATCAATTATAGCATTAAGAACTGAATGAGTTTAAACTTAATTTTGCGTGTAGATACGAAAAAAAAAATTCTCAGTACCGGACTAGAATTTAGGCTCTGGCGGAAAAAAAAAAGAAGCTCTCAAACTGTGGCCACGTGAAAAAGCTGATGTAGGTCGTCACAATAGTGAGTGGCTTTGCTGAGGAAACGAAATAATTGGAGTCGGTGGGGTTCATATTAATGATAGCAAAAATATGTAATAATTATGATTATTTACTGTAGAGCTACTAGTAAAACCATGATTAGTCACCCACCACATGGACGTCGTACCAAATCCTTTGTTTTTATAGTTTTTCAATTTTTTTCTTATTATATTATCACTCTTCTAAAAATCTTAAATTTTCAAGGCTGGCTCTAGACTTATGTAAGTCTCATGAGCATAGTTCGGATTCTTTAGAGCCAGTTTTAAATACGAGAAAATAATAGTAACTTTTATTCTTTTACCAAATTAAATTCCATAAGAAACAAATAGCGTCTATAAACAAAAGTTAAAATAAACTTATTATTGGTATCTTCATGTTAATGTTTATGTTCCTATGGAGTTTTGTGAACTATCTTCGACTTAAAGCAAATTATTTATGATTTAACACAATCCATAATGATTGTCGCTACTCCGTTTGGTGCGGGCATTTATAAAGTGATAATTAAACTTAAGATATAGATTAGTCCAAAATCAAATTGCTAATAATTTGCAAGGACGAGCTGCAGTTCTTTCGTTTTTTTTTTTTTGTCAAGGACAAACAACCTACATTTCAAATACTTCGGTTTAACTTGGTTTTGGTCTAATATGCTTCTTATAACCATACTAACCATTTCATTTTAGACTTTGTTTATAGTTTCAGTTCGAGACTTTCAGCCATCCATGATATTGTTAGTGACTTCTAACAAATAATACAGAATATTCAAAGATTAATTAAAGTCAAAAGACAACATATTTACATATTATACAAAATTTTGAATATACAAACGAGAAACAAAACTTAAAATGGTAAGAAAAACTAATTAAGAATAACCGTCTACTCCAAGTCTCCAACACTCATTAGCCAAAATCATATGGGATGTAGTTCCAAACCGAGCCAAATTGTAACTCTTCAGTTTCCTAATTCGAATAGATAGTTAAACCGGGTTTTCTGAAATTATAATTTCGTTCAGCTTCAAATGTTTTGTTCTTTTACTGCTACTATGGGTCTTGTGACTCAAATGTAAAGACATTTGTGAACACTCAAATATTTGTTTCGTTTAACCAAATTTGGTGGCTGTGTACAGTTTCTACAGCACTTAGCAATCAGGGCCTAATTGTTGATAATCTAAAAATCAGATTAGTAAAAGAAAGGTGATAAAACATTATTCATATATCGTTCCACGGATTTTCAGTTTGCCTTTTAGCTGTCAACTTTTTCGATATATCCTCCTGCTTTACTTCAATTCAATTATACAACTACAACGTTCAATTTTTGTAGTAATTGGCTTAAAAAGGCAAGAGGAATTACTTTAACAGTAAAAGGGCATGGGTCAAAGCAAATGGGAGTAAGAAAAGTAAAAAAACACGATCTCTTATCCTCTCATAGTGCATTATTAAAAATATAGAGATTTATTATCAACTTAATTTTTGATAATCGAGTGAATCATGAATCCAAAACCAGATTAATCTCCAAAACTTATACTTATACTCCCTCTGTTCAGAATTATTTGATGTTTTAAAAGGTTTTTTTTGTTCAGAATTATTTGATATTCTCACTTTTCAATACAAAATTTAATGAATTTTTATAGTTTTTGACCTTTTATATTCTGCAGATTGTTTTCTTATTAGCTGAATGATATTTAAATGAATTATAAATAATATTTTTAGTATAGGAAAAATAAAAATTAAGTGAATCTTTAAACTGTGTATAAAAACCTTAAACATTAAATAATTCTGAACAGAAGGAGTAGTAAACTACTTATTCATAATATTTTTTTTAAATGTAGCATTGTAAGGGAAATCTGGAGTAATCTTCAAAACCTATAGCAATTCAAATATTCATATAATTTAAAATTTTTATAGTGGCTTGGTATAGCTGCTAAGTGAGATTTCATGATGAGGAAATTTGTTCTATGATCTGATTTAATAGGACAAATCTTTGCAACACGGCAAAAAATTGACGACATCTTTTCTAGAATTGATCTCCTGTGTAACATTAATTTCTCACGCTAGCAACTACAACTCCTTTAGTAACTTTGAAAAGTCTGGAGAAAATGAGATTTGGTAAACTGATGATGGTGTACGATTGATAGATTCGATCTTTAATAAAGCATAATAAATAATATCTATAGTGGAAGATTAAGATGTTTAATTAAAATAATAACAATCATCTGAAAGATTCTTCCTTTTTTCATTATTTTATTAAACTTTTGAATTCGATTTATTCCCAATATACAAGACAAAAAAAAAATGTTTAAAAATCCGTCGGTTCAAACATTAGAGTCAAAATACGCCAAAACAGTGATATCATTTACACATGTCAAAACATTATTAGTACACGTGTCAGTAAGGTAAAAATGAGAAAAAACCTCGACGTTGAAACCAATCAATCCCGTAACCTGAAGAAACCTTTTCCTCCAAAAAAAACCGGTAAGACAAGACATCGCACCATGTCCGTTATTGTTAGCTTTGGTCCTACAGAGCCAACAGAGAGTAGTAGAAGAAGAAGATGAAGATGAAGATCAGAGGTTTTTAGAGCTATACCTAACTTTAGATTAATCATCAGAGCATGCGAGAGACTTGAAGCTATCAACAACAATGGGTTTTACTCGATTCTCAATCACGTGATTTTGAAACTTTCTCTTCTATTTTCTCTCTCTCTCTCTCTCTCTCCGTCGTGTCTCTCGTTGCTCTGAAAAAACTCTCGTGACGGTGGTCCATGGAGGTGGATGTGGCATCTGTGCTTGAGTTTCTCCGGAGGAACGGTTTAACGGAGGCGGAATCTGCTCTGAGAGACGATATCAACGAGAAAAACCAACTCGCTTCTTTCGATTTCGAGAAGTTTCTGTTCCCGATTCCGCCTCCGATCAGAATCACCGCGGGTACTCTTCCTCCTTCTGTTACCGCCGGTGAAGATGCCGGCGATAATGGGTCCAAGTCTTCTTCCGACGACGAGTTCGTCAGCTTGGACTCTTCCACTTCATCTTCCGGTAACATTATATTCAATTGGCTAAATGTAGAAACCTTGATTCGTAATGTGTTAAAAAATCCGGCTTCAGTTTCTTGATTCTTGATCTGATTTCAAGAATCGAAGCTCAAAATCGACTTATTTAGCTAATTTGGATGAGATTTTTGCGTAAATGCAGGGTTTGTGAATCCGTATGGAGATGGTTCGTCATCAACTGATTCTCAGTCTCAGTTTGGGACGGCTCGTACATACCCCGAGTGGAGTGAGTTTTACTTGCAGACCAACAACAACGTAGAGACAGAAGATGAAGATGAGTTCATGTCTCCTGCATTTAGAGAATCTGATTTCTTCATCTTCCCTGCACTTACACAAGATAAGTTCATCACAGATAACCAATTCGAAGATAAGCTCGGTGTCTATGATAAATCATCCGAAGGATCACAAACCGAAGCAAGTCTTGATTACTTAGATAAGCCCTTTGTTCTCAACAACAATGTGGAGGACGACTCAAAAGATTACATTGGTCTGGATGATAAAAACTCTGAGCTCGAGAGAGAGTGTTTCGATGGGGAAATGTTGGGATTTAGTTTTGAAGAAGATACAAAAGATGATGATGATTTGAAGACCGGTGATCAAGTGAATGTAACAAGTGAAGAGATCGATGTTGTTCATGAGCTTGAAGAAGATGAATATGAAGTATTTAATCTTAGAATCATTCACTGGAAAAATAGGTATGATGATGATGCTTTGAAGCGATTTGATGAAATGAAATGTGTAAAAAGAATGTTTTGTAATCCTTTTTTGTTTTTTAACAGGACGGGTTTCGAAGAGAACAAGGATTTACCAATCGTGCTGAATTCAGTGATTGGAGGGAGATACTACATTACGGAATACATTGGTTCTGCTGCATTTAGCAAGGTGGTTCAGGCCCATGATCTTCACAATGGGGTCGATGTTTGCCTTAAGATTATCAAGAACGACAAAGATTTCTTTGATCAGAGTTTAGACGAGATCAAGCTCTTGAAACATGTCAATAAGCATGATCCTGCTGATGAACACCACATCCTGCGCCTCTACGATTACTTCTACCACCAAGTAAGAGATCATCTGGAATGACACGAATATCGTTTAACTTTTTTATCAGAGTTTCTAATTCTTGAAAAAATTGTGTAACAGGAGCATCTGTTTATTGTGTGTGAACTTCTACGAGCAAACTTGTATGAATTCCAGAAATTCAACCAAGAATCCGGAGGAGATCCATACTTTAACTTGACCAGACTACAGGTTCCTTGTTGTTTCCCAGACCCTAGAAAATGTCTTTAAAAACAAGGTTTTTATTATCTCTATTGATGTTTTTGTATCCTCAGGTTATAACGCGGCAGTGTTTGGATGCTCTTGTGTTCCTTCACGGATTAGGAATCATACATTGTGATCTCAAACCTGAGAATATACTGATAAAAAGCTACAAAAAATGTTCGATAAAAGTCATCGATCTTGGAAGCAGCTGTTTCCGCTCTGATAACTTGTGCTTGTATGTACAATCACGTTCCTATAGAGCTCCTGAAGTGATTCTCGGACTTCCATATGATGAAAAGATCGATTTGTGGTCTCTCGGGTGTATTTTAGCAGAGCTCTGCTCTGGTGAGGTACTGTTTGGTTTTCATTAAAAGTTTGTCTCTATGTTTTATTCTATATACAGAAGAAACTAGTGACAAGAATCGATCAATGTATATGTGTTTGATTTCACCAGGTTCTGTTTCCAAACGAGGCAGTAGCGATGATATTGGCTCGGATTGTGGCGGTTTTAGGTCCTATAGAAACGGAGATGCTAGAGAAAGGTCAAGAAACACATAAATACTTCACCAAAGAGTTTGATCTCTACCACCTAAACGAGGTAATACCATCTTGATTTTAACCGAAAGACCAAAGACTTGTTACTCGAATCTGATGCATTTTTTTTTTTTTTTTCGTGTGATAGGAGAGCAATGAGATTGAATACATAATCACAGAAGAATCTAGCTTGGAAGATCAGTTACATGTTAATGACGAATTGTTCGTAGATTTTGTAAGAAGTCTACTTGAGATCAATCCATTGAGACGTCCAACGGCTCTCGAGGCACTTAACCACCCTTGGCTCTCTTCTTTTTCTTACAATTGATTTTACGTTTTGTTTTCCTTTTTGGCGGCTTCTTGTGTTGTCTGGTTCTGTCTGTTTCTCCTGTTTTTTCCCCCTCGTGGAATCATGTCTGTGATTTTTTTTGGTCGCTTTGATTTGGTAATTGTGAGATTACATGTGTATAGAACTGTTTACATTGATTTCACATTGTAAATAGAAAGTTTGTGTTTTACAATAATAGACATTTGGTTCATAGTTTCAGTTACCGGTTGTTCTCGATCGAAACTTAACAGCTAAAACTAAAATTTGGACCAACGACCATAATATACATTTTATGATGACCAAATATGATACATCATTCTGGTGTCTACTCTCTCTGTACCAAATACCAATAATGGATTGTAGTAGTTGGAACAAACTTCCAATGTAGCATATGGATGGATACTAATACATTATACATATCATAAGAAATACTGTAAATACAAATCAAAAGCAAGTCGGAAAAAAAAAATACTAATCAAAAGCAATTATTAGTAGTTCTTTTTATAGCATCTGAACTGATACATTGCATAATGTCAAAGGTATAACTGTATAAGAAAGTGATGTGGTTCACAAAACAAAAACAAAATACGTATTGATGATAAAGATTGATCATGTCATTATGATAATTTTCTTAGGTTGCTATTGTAGATAGATTACCTACCAAATAAATAAAAAAATCTGTTAATATATGAATAGAAATCTAAAATTTAACAAAAATCTAAAATCTTAAACATAGACATTATCTAAAATATAAAATCTAAAACATAGACATTATCTAATTATGAAATATCATAAAAATACATTAAATTTTTAGATCAGTGTATTTAAAATAATTGAAATAAGTAAAAATAAAAACATAGATGGCATGAAAAGTAAGATATCATTTTTTTGGTCATGAAATCTTGTTTTATATATGTTGAATTGAAGATTCATACTTAAGATGATTGTTTTCAACTAATTAGTTTGCTATGTATTATTTAGTTTAATCAAATTTTAATTACAAAATCTTGTTTTTAGTGTTTTCTTCTTCTTAATCTATTAGTAATAAATGATTACTTAGTTTCAAATTATGTACCGAAGTGTAAACCGACTCTAAATCAAAACCAAACCGAAATAAATCCGGTTCAGCACCATCATCTACACTGGATTTAAAAATGGGGCGGGGGCCCAAAAGGAAAGATCCAAGGGAATGAGCGCAGCGCTTTCTTCTCTTTAAAATCTGTCTCTTCCTTCACCTTTCTCCCACCTTCATCTCCTCGCGCGTGTCTCCCACCTCCACTCTTCCCTCTAACCTGTAATAGACGTGGCTCTCACTCTCCTGAAACGGCGAGTGGACCATAGAGATCCTAAGAAATTAAAAAATTTGAAAAGACGTATTGCTGAAAAAGAGAGGAAAACCCAAAGTGAGAGCCCAAACTTTGATTGCCTCCTTTTCATCTTCTTCAGCTTTGTGTCGGGAACAAATCGAGCCTAACGATCTCAGCTTCGTTAGTCTTCGTCGTTCTCAAATAAACTGGATTGAAAAATCGGTCCGAGTCATGGCGGAATTGACTCAGGCCGATCTGGTTTACTCACCTCGGTCGCTTCAACTGTGGACTGTTTTGGTGAACTGGCTCGATTTTTTCTACCAATCATTTCTTAAAATCCTCCGTGCAATCTCTCGCCATCCTCTACTCTCTACCTCTTCCTCGTCCTCTGCCAAGTCCATCGCCGATGGTTTTAAACCCTTGCCAGTCATCGAGTTACCGGAGGTGGCGCCGGAATCACCCGTCACCGTGGGAATCGCTTCCACGAGAACCTCCAGCGAAGTCAAATTCGGTAGTATCCAGAGACTCACGGTATTCTTCTTCTTCTCGATTTTCCCAAGTTTTTGTTTTTAAGCTCTTTTATTAGTTTTGCTTCTATTAACTCTAGCTCTGTGTTATAAGAGAGGGAACGAAACTCAGAATTCGAATTAGGCTGCGTTCTGTTAAATTGTGTTCAATCCCTTACCAAAGCATAGATCCATCACTCTTACTAGCGTCATTCATAATTGAAGGCTTTTTGTTTGATTTGAGCTCTGCCTGAAGCACAACTCAATGTCTGTTCTATCTGCGGAATTGTCTGAGAATTGTAAGCTGAGTGTGGAAATCAAGTCAAAATCTGGTTTTGAGATGTTCAACGACTATGAGCTGATACCGTTTAAGCTACTGCTTTATCAAAAGAAACAAAAAAAAAAAAAACGACGGCTGCGATTGGAAATAAACTCGATTTATACACTCAGTGTAAACTTAGGAAATGTCTTTATCTACATTAGACTTGTATTTAGTTGGAATTTTCATACACTATTACTCACGTTGTAAGTAATAGTGTGCCTAAAACTGTAATTCGAGTTATAGACCTTGAAGTTCTGACTTTATGTTCATCATCACTGACCTTTATGGGTGCTCCCAATGTTATTTAGATTATGGTCAAGACAATGTGGAAAGTCGTTTAAGAAAGTAGCTATTGGTAGTGTTTTAAGTAGTCTGAGACATGGATTTGCAGGTAGTTCTCGACTTGGATGAGACATTAGTGAGTGCGTATGAGACGTCCAGCTTACCTGCCACTTTACGTACACAAGCTATTGAAGCTGGATTGAAGAGTTTTGAGCTGGAGTGCATATCATCAACCAAGGTTTCTTATTTATCACAAGTTTTTTCTTTGTTCTTAAGTTAAGTAACTATTGTTATGTTTTGCTTTTGGGGATGATTTTCAATAGTCTCACTTTATCTTCCTGAAGGAATGCAATGGGGAGCCTAAAATCAATTATGTTACAGTGTTTGAGCGTCCAGGGTTGCACGAATTCTTAGAGCAACTCAGCCAGTTTGCAAATCTCATTCTTTTTACCGCTGGTCTCGAAGGTCACTTGAGTTACAATTACTTCTCAGTTTTCTCTATCCTCTGTTCTCCGTCAAGTGGTCTAATACATTCCTTACATCTGCAGATTATGCAAGGCCGCTTGTGGACATAATAGATACCAAGCATGTGTTAGACGACAGGCTTTATCGACCTTGTACTGTCAGCACGTAAGTTTGCTTGCTTGAATGGGATGATCTGATCTGTCTTTTCCCTTGTTAGAGATTATTGTGATCCATATCTTGTGCTTTCCATAATATCAGGCAATATCGAGATCACGTGAAGGATCTGTTATGCGCATCAAAGAATATGTGTAGGACAGTTATAGTGGACAACAATCCTTACAGTTTTCTATTACAACCTCTAAACGGGATTCCATGTGTTCCGTTCACCGCAGAACAGCCAAATGATACTCAGGTATTTAAGTCCGAACACATTTCTTCCTAATAGTATTGATCAACGTTTTTTTTTATCCTCCCTTGGAATCTAATGAGATGGCACTATGCAACCATTAAACATGATGAAGCTGCTGGACATTATTCTTCCACTTCTTAAGCAACTCTCAGAGGAAGAAGATGTAAGATCAGCTCTTTACGATAGATTTCACATGCCTGAATGGTTTGAAAAGCAAGGCATACCAAGGTCATGCTGGACATCATCATCATCATCATCATCATCATCACAAGTCCCTGGATCCAGATAGTTGGAATCTCTCATAGCTCACAGTAATGGAAAGTGTTATTATTGGACCTGACTGTGTTTTGATGTTTTTGGAATGAAAATTCAAAGTCAAAGTCCGATCCGGTGTTACATACTGATATGATCGATTCATTCTTTAGGAGCTATTTTGCTTTATATTTATAGATGATTAACCGCGGGTTGGTCTACATGACCACATGTCCAGATCAAAAAAGAAGTTAAACAAACGAAAACCACCTAGAGTTAATATAAAAAAAAAACTTGAAAGCAGCCTCAAGCAAACCCTAGTAAAACTTAAAACACACGCAAAAACCCTAAGTTGGATTCGGGAAGACATCCTTGACGATCCTATCACTCAGAGGTTTCGTTATAGAAGGAAACCTAGTCTTGTGAATAGCGAAGCAAATCTTGCGAGTTATCAAGTGCCTAAACATCCTAATGGTGAGAATATCGCAATGCATCTGGAAACCATAATCCGTAAAGAATTCCCTCCATCCCGAAGACAAGACAGGCGTGTCCACACTCCACATCTTGAACTTCATCTCTCGAGCATTCCCGTCTGGTCCGTACACCGAAACATCAAGCCATCTCGTCCCGCTCGGAATCTCAGTCTTTTTCAGACGAGGAAACAGCCACTTCTTCACTTTCTCCTTCCCTAACATGAGCCTGTTTTGACCGACCTTCACGTCGCTCTCACTCATCTGCTTCTTTATCGGTTTGCCTAACCATTCCGCCACGTCAGCAACGCGGAATATCTCTCCCGGGTCGAGCTCAGTTTGGTTCCATGCCATGAGTCTATTCCTGGTTTCTTCGGAATCGTCTTTCTCCACAAATTTTCTACTCGTATATTTTTTTTTAATCTTCTTCGACTTTTTATTGATCGTCGTCTTTTGCTTTTTTTCAAGAGTTTTTCTATTCGTACACAGTTTTCGAGTAGTTTGACTTACTTGTTGTACTATTGGAATCGAAGGAACCTCATCTTTTATAGCGTCTTCTTCTTCTTCTTCTTGTGCCTGTTCTCGATAATCTCGGCTAAGTTGTAGTAATATGTACGCAGCTTCTATATCTTCTGGTGTATAACTTGTGGTTTCCTTTGTTGGAGTTGCCATGATCTCTCGCGTTTTCTCTATTTTTCTCTGTTTCTGCTTCGTTGCGACAATTTTTTGCTAGAGCTTTTTTCTTTTTTCTCTCTCTATTATATACTTTTATGTAAGACGTTTTTTACTTTTTCTATTTAGTTATTTTTTCATTCAGATAAATATTAACAATATGTAAAAAAAAAAGTAGAACAGTTTTAACATAAATACCGCTAATATTATATATTAATTTAATTAAAAAATAGGTTAGATAATAATATAAAGGCAACCGATCAGTGGAAGTAAAAAACGATAATAATAAGCGGTGTGTAATATCCATAATAATATAAAGGCAACCGATAATAATACTCTCAACAGGGTATTCTCTATTGTTTTAATTGAATTGAGGTTAACTGTTTTCCTAACCAAAAAAAAAGAGTCACGTAAGGAAAAAAATATGAAATTAAACAGGAAAAAAATTAAATTCAGGTAAACTGTATAAAAATAATTTACCAAATGTCTCATCATTGAGGAATATGCACGAATAGTTGGTCTGCATTAAGTGAAAAATGAGGCCTTTCTTGCAAATGTCCACAAATATTTCATACCCAAATGTCGAAAACACACAAATGTTCTGGATCGACCGAGTTTCGATTTATTGAATTGGATACAACAAAGTGAGAGAAACTCAGAATGAAGAAAATGTTCTCCAAAAAAAAGCTACTAGACAAAGTTCGGTGCGGTTTTGGCGGACGCTTCTCTTATTGAGCGGTCTTATTTGGGCCCATAAGCCCACTAGAGATATTAGCCTCTCCAATCGCTAAAGCCCAATATAAAAGTGTTAAATTACAAAATATGGAAGATTACTTCCCACATCGGAAACATTCAAGAATCTTATGTGGTATATAATAAGCTTGAGCTATTGCATTAGTTATCAACTGGCTTTGAAGTGGAATGCTTATGAATCTTCTGATAGAATCATTATCTATTACCCAATAGGGTACATAACCATTTACCCAATAGATTACTTGTTAACATGTTATGTAACACAAGTGTAGCTTCGTTAACAGAAAGTTTTGAGGACCAAGATCCAAGATTTTAAGAATCAGAAGTTTGCAAAACATGACCTTAGCTTCTGTCTCGAATCTTTCCTGATCCAAATAATTGTGAATAGGCTCCATGGATCATATAAAGAAGACTCTATGGATCATATAAATCCCTAGAATTCGAATCATTAATACACGATTCTTTCAAAACCTTAATATAATTTAGTTACCAACTGGCTTTGAAGTGGAATGCTTATGAATCTTTTTGTAGAATCATTACCTATTACCCAATAGGGTACATAACCATTTACCCAATAGATTACTTGTTAACATGTTATGTAACACAAGTGTAGCTTCGTTAACAGAAAGTTTTGAGGACCAAGATTTTAAGAATCAGAAGTTTGCAAAACATGACCTTAGCTTCTGTCTCGAATCTTTCCTGATCCAAATAATTGTGAATAGGCTCCATGGATCATATAAAGAAGACTCTATGGATCATATAAATCCCTAGAATTCGAATCATTAATACACGATTCTTTCAAAACCTTAATATAATTTCAAAATCAATAGATTGGTCAACAGCTTTTAATTGTTGGATTCGTGTAACACAAGTGTAGCTTCGCTAACAGGATTGAATTGCATATTTATAGTCTAATGCCTGAAAGAACCTAACAAATTCATAAATAAAGATGTCTCTGTTGTAGATGAAAGTTTTGAGGACCAAGATTCAAGAATCAGAAGTTTGCAAAACATGACCTTACCTTCTGTCTCGAATCTTTCCTGATCCAAATAATTGTGAATAGGCTCCATGGATCATATAAAGAAGACTCTATGGATCATATAAATCCCTAGAATTCGAATCATGTTTGATTTAATTCTTGTTTATTAATTTTAATAATAAGATATATATTATACAGTTTTTGGCAGGTGCTGGATTGGTGAGGTAATAAAGTTAAAGATGTTGGACTAGAGATTTGAATTTTTCAAAATAAAAACAGATAGTTTTATTAAACAAAAGAAGAGAAGAAATACTGTACGAGAGTATAAGGTGAATATCGTCGCCCTGATGCAAAATTCTATCATGAATTAGTGCAATAAGTAACAACTTTGCAAATTCCAAGTTGGATCATCTTACAATAGATTTTACACACTGAAAAAAAATGTAGACTATAATTTCATTTTCTTCAATATGTTAGGTATAAAAACACTATTGGAGATATCAGAGCAAAGATCAATTTGATCTTCAAGCTACATTATACAATACTTCAAAAGCTTTTCTAAAATGGTGCAAATTTTCTCTCGAACACATCCATTACTATTAAACCAAATCATTCGAAGATGAAACGCATCAGAAGCCGTACTGATTTCATTTTCTCCCCCTTCTTGTCATACAAAGGCACAGATCGAATCCCCGGTCTTAGTTCTGACACAGGCAAACATGTTTGTCCCCCAAAGTCATCCTTCTCAGACATATCATACTCTCTGACTTCGATCCTAAGCAATGCAAGCTCTGGAACTGTTAATGGAAAACTGAATTCCTCATCCCAAATTGGATACCAATTGTCTTCGATTATTTTTGTCTTCCTCTTTGCATTATCCGCTGGTACACCCACTATGAACATCTACAGAAGCTCACAAATCCGTAATCTGGAAAGGTTTTTCAGGTAATTTGAAGAAAGACCCTATTTGGTGAAATTGATTTATATTACCTTAGTGTAGAAATCAGGAGGAGAATATGCGTCGAAATGAGTGTGACTGAAATCTAGACGCCATCCATCTCCCATATACACTTTCACCTATTGAGAAACCGCGGCAAAATGATAAGCCATATGACATATGGAAGTTTTAAAATATCCGTCAAAGTATGTAGATTTTTGTTGGCTTGCCTTTAAAGTTTCTTTCACAGGGAGTTTCTTCTTAGGGTCAAAGACTTCGTCATGAAACCCTTTCTTCATCAAGAAGTTAGGTTTCTTGACATATCCGCAACCTCCATTGGCTCTAAACATGCCGTGCATCAACCACAGAGATTTCCCATATCCCTATAAACACAAATGATTTGTTATGCAGAGATATATCAAGTGTTTGTAAATGGAGATTGAACACTTAGGCTAAACCAACGCCAAAAACGGTAGCTTATGAGTCAATGTATCCTTAGACCTTCTAAAGCCTTAGTTTATTAATTACCTGCATATTGAATGCAATCATTTGTGCTCCGTGAGTCCAACCGATAAGCGGTTTGTAGTTTGAGGAGTTAAATCTTGTCCCTTTCGGGTATATCCGAAGCAAATTCCGCTGTGTAAACCTATAAAAACAACATAGAGAGATCATGTTGTAGCCCAAGTCTGTTAAAAGATTAGGATTATATTTTAGTATTACCTTACAACATCCTGACTGTTGGATGAACAAGTCCTGTCAAGTTCCTGCTCGCTTAAACTCAAACGTCTCACTTTATCAACCACAACTTTCATCTCTTCTTTCACAGTTCCCTTTGGTTTCCCGGCATGAATCGTGATCAACCTTTTGTATGCTGGTTTCTGATCTTCACTCGCTTCTTCGTCCTCTTGATCACTATCACTCTGATTCAAAACTGAAACTCAATTACAAAACAAACAAACAATGTAAGAACTTTCTTTTTTCCTGATTTCAAGTTCCGCTTTTACCTTGTTTTCACAATCTTGGTAAAACAACATACTTTCTAGTGTCTGAATCTCCTCTGTTCTAGGTGTTTCGTCCTCTGAAGACGGAGATGCATTACTATTATCCTTCTGTTTAACAATCGGGTTCCTCGATTCAAGATACTCTTTAGGTGGTTTAGTCGAGATGATTATCCGATGAAGCAATGAAGCAGGAGAAGGAAACTCTTCTAAGCTATCCGATTCAGGGTAATACAACATCTGCCCAAATATCTGCGTAGCCATCTGAAGAACGAAAACAAAAACCCGATCAAACAATATCGAAAAACAAACTGAAACTGATTCACAAGATAGAATTTTTATACCTCAGCGACTTTGGCTTGAAGATCAGCTGTAAGATGATCCTCTAAAGTGATGATAACCGGATAAGGCGAGCTAGAAAACGCGTAATCTCTAATCGATTTCAAGCATTTGATCAGCGGCACAGGCGTTGTGAGCGTTCTGATAAAGAAACAAGAAACCCGCGATTTCAAGCGTTTGATCTGAAAATGTTTTTAAAGAGAAGGAAGAAGAAGAAGAAGAAGAAAAAGGTTTGACCTTCCGTGAAGGACATTGATGTCTGTTCCAGTAGAGTTCGGCCAAAGATCAAGCTCGATAACTCGAACTCCTCTTTGCAAAGCTTTGATCACAGGGACTTCGCTGCAATCGCTGCTTAGTTGATTCCCTGTAAGATACGAATTGTGTCCTGTGTATATAAAGTAATGCGACAATGGAGCTGTCATGTCTTGATGCACCTGTTTCAACACAACACAAAACTTTCAACACTTTCGTACAAACATAAAGTTTCGATTTTTATTGGTGGGCAAGAGAAAAAAATTGAATTTTTTTGAGCATTTACGTGAGGCGTGATGGGAGGATTGAGATCGTCATAGAAGAGGAAATTGAAGAAATCGTCGAGGTCGAGCCCTTGTCGCGTGAAGCGCGTGGCGTGGTGTCTCCGTCGTATGACCTCGTCGATTAACCGTTGAGCCTCCGCGACGGTGGTTCCTGATTCGCCTTGGTGGTCATCGAGGAAACAGCAGAGCTGCTCTGCACCGATTACACCGGAGGATCCGTCGCCGTCGCTGGAATCTCCGTCGCCTCCTCCGCCGCTGCCGACGGCGAATTGACAGAAGGCGTCACGGACGTCGTCGGTGGGTTGGACTTCGTTGATCTTGAATTTACGGTTGAAGCATTTGAACATCTTGTAATTGTAACTCCCATTGTCATACGACTCTGTTTTCTTCTCCTTCCCCATTGTCTAAATCAAAAAATTATTAAAAAAAAAAAAGTTGAAAACTTTTCAAAATTTCGAATTCCGATTATTACTAGGGTTCCTTGGAATCCAAAAATTTGTTCTTCGGAATCGAAGAACTGAGATTTGGGGATTTGCGTATTGAAGATGAGGAGAAGGAGAGTCCCTATAAAAGAGGAGGTTTTGAAGCGGGATCGTTTGTCTTTTGTCTTCTTCTTTTATTTCGAGTCTTTTTTGAAAATGTTCCTACCTCTTCGTTTTTTATTTTTATCTAAAACTGTTTTCATCAAAAATCAATATTACGTATCTTTCTTCTTCTTCATTTCTTAGTGAAAGAAAAAGATATCTTAAAATTACTAATAAGAGATATTCTTAATTATAGTTTGTTTTTTTTTTAGATTTTTTTTAGTTAGTAAAGGTTCTTTTCTTCTTTTTTCTACTCTTTTTAGGTGGGAAATTTTGTATTAGTCTAAGAATAAGATTACATTCTGTTAGATATGTCCAAAAGGGGGTTGCTTCCATGATCTCATAGTTCATATGTGGAGTGCTTTACTTTTTACTCAATGACTATTTTTTTACTTAAGTTCGGTTATTCAAATATGTATTTTAATAAATTCTAAAAATCGTATGCAGGACTCGTCAAAACGAAATCATGCATACTTCATCTACATCACGTCGACCTTGGATCTGATTTTATAATATTGAAAATTTTATTACGTTTCCCTTTAAATCCACTTTGTGTGTGTGATTAGAGAATAATGTTTTTCCTTATATGTAATGGATTTATATGTAATGGATTTATGCATAATGATTTATTCTCTAACGTTAACATCGTGGTTTAGTTTCTTAATTGTGAATTGTAATTGTGATTGGTACTAATCCGTATTAGAAAAGGGGAGAGACGTTGTTTTTTATATATAAGATTTATTCACTTATGTTTACCCCAAAAAAGAAAAAGATGTATTCACTTTTAATGGAAATACTCAAATGCAAAAGTGTGGTTAAAAGAAAGAATCCAGAAAACAGAGTTGGTGACAAGCTTGTGTTGCTGCTAAATTTTAAAAAGATTAAATTTGTTTTTCAGTGCTTCTAAGCATTTGCTCTGATTATATGCCAGTGTGATCAATATTACTGTATTACCAAAAGTATGGAAGATATGTTTTAAAAAAAAAGTATGGAAAATACGTTTATGTTCTTACACTGTGAATATGATAAACAATGTAGAGAGACTCAACATAGTTCTGTGACTAGAGCGCCAGCTAAACAAGTGAGGAACATAAAATGTTAACACATGCTTTTTCCACAAGTATCAGTTGTTTCTTATTAAATCTTGTGTTTACATGTCGGCTTTACGAGATTGGGATAATCTTGAACTGTAACCATGTAACTTGATACTCCCTGAGGTGTAGACACGGAAGCCATTTCTGGACGAAACAAGTTTGATACCTTTGTGTATATTGGATTTGGAAAAAGTCTTATAGCAGCTCTGATAGTGCTTAGGCACATGTACTGGTTTGATGAAACATGCCTTTTCCAAGTGAGGAATTGCGTGAAGATGAGAAGGAAGATGGATAACAAATTCTCCAAAGTCATCAGTAACAGCTTTTACCCATTTTGATCTCTTTTTGAATCCAGTATGGCACTTGATAGCAACAGTGGCACCTTTGTCAGATCATGTAAATTAGTTTAGATGATGTTTAATTATGTGTAAACATGAAAAACATAAGACTTAGACGCATAGACATATATATAGAGAGAATACCTGAAACAGGGGTGTTGCAGAGAATAGAGCCGGTGATAACTACGGAGGAGAGTTTGTGTTCCCCATAGCCATTCATCTCAGCCATTTCTATTCTGCTCCAAAACTTGCCTGCAGCTGCGAATGATCCTTTGAAGAAGATGAAGAAGAAGAAGAAGAAGAAGCTCCTCATTTTTAAAAGTCTCAATACGTTACTTTTCTTTAAGAAATGAAAATAAGCTTGTGAATGTAGATATGTGTGAAGAGGATGGATTTTAAAGAAAGCAAATGGTCAATATGTAAGACTCCATTTGGTTGGCCTTTTTCTGTGAGTGATCTCAATGTGTTATCTCAGCTAACTACATTTAGGATATAAATAAAGTGGAGTAGTTAGCAGGAAATGAAGGAACAAGCCTACCATCACCGAGAAGACTGATCAATATTGACTTTTGTGGGTTTGGTCAGTAAGCACTAAAGCAACCATGAGTTAAAGGATTTGTTGACCTATACCAACATTTTCTCAAAAGGAAGAGATCTCAGTCTGTTACAGGTCCATCACCTTTTATGGGCCTCCAAACTTGGAGATTTGACAACTTTTTGGCCCATTAGCCAGTGATCGATGCAGTCTGACTGTGGTTAACTCTTTCCGACCCAATAGTCTGCTGCAATTCCAACCGAAATCATTGTTTTGGTCCAGTTAGACAAACCGGAGAAAGACATTTAACTGTAGACATTCAAGTCTTTGCCTTGACTTGTAGAAAGGAAAGAATAAAGTCCAAGTCTGTCTCCTTGATGGTCTGGTCTGACTTTTCTCCCATAATTATTCTGTTGTATACTAGTAATGTAGTCAATCAATTTGTATAGTCGTTAAAATTTAACTGAATCAAATTGTTTTCTTCTTTTTTTGTCAGCTCAGTCTCTGGATTGATTTCTTTATATAGTTTTGGTTTGTTTCAGCCGAATTAAATAGTGATACCTCTTCCTTGGAATACTTTGTTACAAATTCATCCGTAATATTGAAGTAGATTTCATTTGATATTAGAATGTAAAGAAGCATATTTATGAGATAAGATTACATTACATAGAACCATGACTTTATTTACTGAAGAGATTCCAGATAATGAGGCAAGAGAAGACAGAGTTATTGTTAGTCTTATGATAACAACAAATTGGAATGGAGGTTGAAGAATTTACATTTACAAGGAAAGTCAAATCAGAGGATAGAGAGATGATTCAAGCTTCATCTGCATCACTTCCACCTATATGCCTTCCATGGCTACTCACCCAGTAGTTGCTACCATCAGGTCCCGATATCTTAAATCTGTCACAACAATTACCATATTTTATGTCAAACGCGATGAAAAATTCATCTTCTTCCTGAAATGTTGGAAATATATATAACCTTTCAAGCACTGATTTTCCTTCTTTGTACTTCTGACTCTTCTCATGAGCAGTCTCCTAATAAAAACAGAACACACAACCAAAAGACATAAACCAAAACTAACTATATCAAGAAAGATATCCGATGTTCTTTCCACAAAAGAATCGAACACGGATAGGTTCTTTTAAAATATGTGATGTTCTTGCTTACGTATCTCCATCCAACGATTGATCCACACGAGACACAGAAAATGTCAGCCACTGTATGTTTTCCAGTCATCATCATTCTTTCCTCAGTCACTCCAGTTGAAACATTCGCACTAAACCAGATCATCATCAGCAATGCCAGCTCAGTTTTAGGAGTATATGATCATCATCAGTTGACTTTTAGAAATCTTTAGGTGCCTTAGAAATCAAATAAAAACTTACACTTTATTGAAGAGATATGCTTTCCCATGCTTGCAGTGAAAAGACTGAAACAAGATGGATTCTTTAAGTTTCTCAAAAAAGACTGAAGCTACTAAACTAAGCTCTCACTGATCAGCTAAAGAATAAAAGAAATCTAATCTTGTTTCGCTCATATCAGCTAAAGGGAAGCTAAATGTTCAAAACTATGATTGGAATTATACAACCAATGAAATTATTATTGAACCAATTATAGAGTGGGCAGATAAATACAGATATTAAACCATAAGCTCAACAATGTAGCAACTTAAAACTCAAGGATCTTCTTCATATCATGATCCAGTTCCCAGAAATAAGATTACAGAAAATTTATCTCAAGTCATAACTAAAGCTAATCAATACATAAAAACAACTCTTCTAGAGAATCTTGTGTCACTGAAAATCCTCTCAAATTCAAGGAGCATGCAGAAAAAAAAAAAAAAAAAAAACAGATTGATCACAAACACCACAAACCCATAAGAATATTTTTTATCCAGATATATCATGAATTAAGAAAAAAAAAACAGATAGAGAGATTGGGAGAGGTGAAAAAGAGACAAAAACCTTGGAGATGATGTCTTCGTATAAAGCAAGATGAGTCTTACAGTGTTTGCAGCTATAGATCTTCCCCTCCAGGTTCACCACAAAGAGCCTCCCCATCTTTGATTCAAACCACCAATTGAATCGAGTCAATATAAAAAAAAACAACCAAAATCAAAACAGAGTTTTCGATCTTAACAAGAAAACTTTTTTTTTTTTTGCTTTATACGAATCTCAATACTTTATTGGGTTTAATTGATGGTTGTTGTGTAGTTAGCAAGGAATGTGGATGGGCAAGGTATAACGTCTGCTCTCAATTATTCACTTTTTATTTTCTTTTTCTTCTTCAACCCAGAAAAGTGGAACAACGTGTACTCTTCACCAATTGCATTTTCTATATATTCATATTCTTTTTATTTTATTATAATACACTTAAAGGGAATTATTACAGCATCTTTCTTACACTTTATACACTTGTCTATTCTATTTGGAGATTTCCTTTAAATTGTCAATTGTTTTTGCATTTCAATTTTCAATAGTAAGAGTGCTGTAAAAGTAACAAATAATCTACTTTTTGTGTACATGTATATACTAACAGATAAGTAGATAACTGAAGTTTTGGAGTATCATGCAAATTTGAACAGTATTTTATTATTATTAATATTCAAGAAGTGACAAGCCCAAGTTTGACCAAAACTAAGTTTGCGATTACGTGACGAATAATCACAGAAATATTCTTCTCCCTTCTATTATTTCATTATCAAGAAAAATATCATATCTTCTCAAGAATACGACAAAATCATTATTTCCTTTCAAATTTCTTTATAGGCCATTATTTGTATGTTCAAGTTAATCGAATCTCGCGATATCATAATATTTTAAAAATGTTGAATATCCACAGTATACCATATCGTTGGGGTAAAATAGTAAATGATTCTAAATAAGCTTTGGATTTTGAAAAAGAGAAGAAAAAGATGATGCAGTGCTATATGTATGACTTCATTACATTTTGCTTGGTATAAAAACTTATACAATTTTTCTTTTTTGGTCAACAAAAACTTACACAATCTTACAATATACAGTATAGGTAATATTGAGATATAGACTTGGAATCCTCTGTATGAGAATGGAATGATAAACCCTGAATTCATAAATATCTTAACACTCCAAAAAGCAAATGTAACCAATAGCTAGAATGAAATCAGACCAGCTAAAGTTACTAAACCATACGATGTACTACATTATATAAATATACTCATATTGTTAATATTAGGATCCGAAGTCTCGCGAAATCACGTAAAAAAATAAATAGCTTCTATTTTATATTTCTTCATATCCACTTTCTTTTTTTCTTTTTCTTTTTTTCATATCAACTTTCTACATAGACAACAAACCTTACATGCGTAAATTATACGTGAAACCTCATCATACTCATCATGTTGTTGAAATCCTCATTTATTATGGAATCACATCTTTGCTACTTGCTAGTGGAATGTCGAAATATGGACACAAAAGCCTTGGTTATAACATCGTCTAATTGATATTCGGTTTTTTTTTTTGGCTAAATTTTGATACTCGGTTTCGACGTGCGTTAATGACCCACTTTGCAAATTAACATATTAGATGTTCAATATTCACTAGAATACTAATAATGTGTAATGTACTAATGTAGCTGAATTGTATATCAATATCATCGTGTCGTAAGATTGTTAAAGACGAATATTGATTTGTTAATGCAGCAATATGGTCAAGCAAACTTCTTTAATTACAAACAGACAACAATTGAGATCAGCAATATAACCCGAAAAGATATTTGCATAATTTGGATTCTTCTTACTATACTACTAGTAACAGACAAATCGACAGATCTAATAATCCAATTCGAAAAACACCAAAACAATAAACAAACTCATTTAGATTAACACGGCTTGAGTACATCTCAACCTCTTTAGTCTTTACCATAACATGCATTATAAAGCTTTCATTATTTAAGAAAATACTATAATTTAAAGATAGAAAGGCTCATTAATTGTTAAAAGTGGCGATGAAGCTGATAGGGCCTTTACCGGTAAAGGCTGCCTGAAGACCAAAGATGAGAAATGCGACCATAGCGAGACGAGAGTGTTTAATCTCTGCCAGCTTCAAAGTATCCAACTTCTCTGGGTCAGACCCGAGTCCAAGCGGGTCAAAATACCCACCCGGGTAAATTCGTTTCTCAGGATCCAGCTCAGCGTTACGCTGGAACTCGATGTACCCGACCACTAACACCTCAATCCATATCAACGTCGTCAACGAAAAAGGCAATGGCTGTCCCAAATACGACGAACCTTCCACCAATTCCACCTATATAGTACGTGTTTCATCAAGTAAACCAACCAAACCGAATTTTCATCAACTCTAAACCAAACCGAATATCATATTACTCGAAACGGTACCAAATCTAACTCAAACGGTGCCAAATAAACCGAAAACTATTATTAGTTCATTTTCTTAATTCAGAATCGAATTTTCAAAACCAAAGCAAATTGAAAATATTCACACTATCTGAACCCGGATAAAATCCGATTTAAATTTAAGCCTAATTTCAATGACTACTTGTCAATCATGCAGAAACTTGTATCTTAGTTCAACGACTGACACGTGGACAACTATGTCCGTAACGAATAACTGAGCGTACCTTTCCGGCGTCTTGCCAGGCGATCCCGGTGAGAGCTTCGACGGCGATGGCGCCAAGCGTGCCAAGCATGGCCCACCTTCCATGGATCAACTCGCATTCTCTGAACCGTTGGATCCCAAAGACTTCAGTGTACGGCTGAAACGGCGTCGGGTTAATCTCCGACGAGTCCTGGATGATCCCGATGACTTCACCGGCCACGTTCTTGGCAAGGTTCTGATCGAGCCCGTCGAAATCGTACTGAAGATACTCCGCCGGTTTACCTAAACCGAACGGATCGAATCCACGGTCTCCGATCATCGATCCGTCTAGCCATTCCGGTGGTTTTGCGCCGGGGAACCAAACTAGTCGGTCTCCGTCGTCTTGGACCTGCCTCGATTTCTTCGGCGGTGGGGCGGGTTTCTTTTTTCCGAAACTGAACCCGAACCGGGCTTGGACTCTACCGGTTCCGGGTCTCGGATCTTGAATCCGGATCCCAAAGATACCCGAGGCTGCTGCTGCAGTGGTGGTGGCCATATGAATTGTTTTTGTGTCGGTGTGATTCTTTCTGCTAAGTGACTGATGAATGAATGTTATAACATATAGTTTTTTTTAATAATAATAGATTTTGGTATAAAATAAATGGTAATGTTTATATGTGATGGTAAATGTAAGAAGCCTTATCTTAGCGTTATCTTATGAGAGTCACGTACTGGTCTCTCTCTTGACCTTTTATTCTTTTGTGGTGGCTCTATTTTCAATGACGTTTCACTTTTTCTCTGTGGTCCGAAACTCCGAATGGTTGGTGTCTCCATTTAAGGTTTTCCTTTGTTTTGTTTTTATTTGTTTTTAAGGATTTCTTTTGTCGATTTCACAAAAAGAGAAAAGATTGGTCCCAGTTGAAAATTTCTCTTCACTAAGCCCATTGGCAATAAAGCCCATTAGTAGACGACTTTACAAAGGAGTACAGAATCATAGAATTATACAACCCTTCTTAATTCAAGCCCCTTAAATTCGTGTGCGCTCCAATCCAATTGTTCAATATGGTCTAGTCCTACACTAGTTTTGTATAGAACTTTGGCCTCGGTTTTTCTTTGTTTGGCAAATACTTCGGAATCGGTTTGTGTTTGGTTTTCATATAACTAAAATACCTTAATATGAATGATTTTCAAAGGATATTTAGGTTTTGATTTGATTTCTTCTATTTTCATACAATTCAACTCAATTTCCAAAGGTTTTTTTTTAAAAATAAAATTTCCTAGATGGACCTAAAATTCCTTACGGTTTTCAAATCGGTGTTTAGATCGATCGAATCAATCAAACCGAATTGGTGTCGATAACTCTCTATTTACGGTAAGGTTAGTTTTTTAATATCACTAGGTTTTTAATAAGAGTTTGCAGTAAAAAAATACGATAAGGATAAAGAAAATTCAGTGAACCTGAAGTTTCACAGACTTTCTTATTCACTTATTAAATAGATTGAGATATCGTAAAATAATGTAAATATCTAGATTCTTGACTATGAATTAAGTATATGATCGTAGAAACTAGAAAGGTTGCTTTATAAATTTTGGTGACGTATAAAGGCATTCACGCCTGCTCGCAATTACAAACACAAGATTTTAAACCAAAAAAGTACAAACATAAATAAAGCGGAGAGAGGATTTAAACAGATGCCTTGGGCCTCTTCCCATTGATCAACTCTAGGGTAACACAAAATAAACAAAGTATACTATATCATTTACAAATTACCCTGACTAATCTAACATTAAAGCTAACCACTGCTAAATCATCGGAGTTGTCTTACATTTTTTTTTAAAAAGTCGTTAGGTTATATAGGCTCCATTCCCTTATCTGTTCCTCCCGCCTGTTACAGACAATCCTGTGGATTTTTCTGTTAACTGAAAAAACGAAAGACAGATATAAACAATATTATCAGCAAAACAGCTCTCAACTTGGTTACCTCCACATATTTTTATATCATTCCGCAACTAATAATACTTACAAAAAAACCTTATAGAAATCATTTTTATTCACGAGAATGTGTATATATATTACGTAAGCAAGAAAAAAAAAGAGGATTATGAGATTAGGTTGGTTACCTGAAACTTAAAAGCGAAGGAGTTGATGAGTCAACACCGAAAGGCAGAACAAGCTACATTTATACGTCGTATTTTTATATTCACATTTACATAGTATGTGTCATGTGTGTGTTATATACATATATATGTACAAGTATTAATTCTCTTGAAATACGTCTCTATTTGAGTCTCTCTTGTTGGAGGATCTTTTGGTATCTCGGGTACACGTTCTTATTACAAGCTGAAACCTGAAATTGAATTTAATCAAACAAATAAACCTGATTACTTTTCCCACTGGATTATAATAACTATTTAACTTATAATTTAAACAGGATAGGTTTTGTATCCTTTTATGAAAAAATAATCATGAAGCATGCGTGACGTGTGACGTGTCATGTCAGATTATTTGATTAAAAAATCTTTGTTTTAAAGAAAAAAAAAAGGATTAGGTTACGTGCCACACGGGCACACGGTTTTCACATGAAATTCTAACGTATATTATACAAGAAGTCTAAATTCAAATTCAATTTTGTTTTCTGTTAGAAAGTTAATACGGGAGCGAAAATTCAAAAGCTTCAAAATCCAACCAACAAGTTGGAGAGAAAGATGATCTCGTTGAGTTTCTAGAATCCCAAGAGGGCCAAATGTGTCAAATTAATTTATGTTACATATTCAGACATTTGACTATTACACCCATCCACATGCTTTCTCTGACCCAGTCTGGTTTGGATATCTTAGTGCAGGTAAAAAATCTAAAATCTAATTCATCCTAGATTTGAAAAATAATACAACTTGGTATTATTGGGCCCTATCTTTCAATGTAATCAATTAAAAAAATAAATAAAAATAAAAAATAAATATTTCTGTAACGGCGAAGAAGAAGAAAGACGAAAGTGGACTTACGGCTTCGATGTCGATTTTGAAGACGAGGAGCTTTCTTCTCTCTCTACAACTCGTTCGATACGCGACAACGATGTGACCGATGGCTAAAACCGACGAGCAGAGGAACAGAGCCACTTCCGCCGCCCTGAAGTAATTACCTCCGCCGTCTCCGATCGCCGGCTCGCCGAACACGAACGCCGCTTTTAACGACACGTAGATCAGAGACGAAACTGAGCAAATCATCGTTATTGTCAGATACGGTCCTCTCGATAACTTGGGTCCATCGCAGAGCCCATAAACGCCTGTTTCACAAAAAATTAAATAAAAAACAAGTCTTTTCAGTTTCTCGGTAAAAGTAAACTCCACAAGATCTCGACTTTAATGAAGAATGTGTGAAACAGAGTATATTTCGATCTCTGGATTCTTCAGAAACTTAACACCAATCCTCCCTAATTCAACTAAGTCAGAGTTGTGAGCTTTTAAATTGAACAGAGCAATTGATTCAGAGTGATGGGCTCTTGCAAAGTTTGAATCTTTTACTCACAGAGTATAATGGCGGATCTAACGATGGAGATTAAGGGAATATCGATGAGGGAGTGACGGAAATCGTAGTTGGTGAGATGAGAAGAGAGATTCGTCGGCGGAGAGAGGCGGTGGAGGAGGGCGGAAGGTAGGAGAGCGTCGGCGACGGCGAGGAAGATGGGAGCAGAGACAAGGAGAAAAGAGAGGAACATTGTGAACAAAACGAATACAGTTTTGATTCCTCTCCATAGTGATGACCAAAACCTTCTGCTTCTGCTAATCTCTTCTTTACTAAAACCCATATCGAATTAGATTGCAGAAAGGATTTTGCTTGGAGTGTGGATTGTTTTAGAGAGAAGGTGTTCGGAGACTTTTGAGGGGGGTTTTAAAAGGTGGACGATACAAAGTGACGATGACGACGAGGATGATGGTCAGATAAATTATATAATAACAATTTCCTCGGTGGACTTTGGAAAATTTAAATGAATATAGGAATTATTGCATTGGTTTGGTAAAAAAAATCTTTTTTTTGGGCGTAGGTAATTTCTATCTTTCTATATATCAATCATTATTAGTAAATTTGAGTTTTCTCTATAAACGTCTATTTAATTCAATTATAATTTTTTATTTATATATAATTATATACATATATAAAAACATTATTTCTTATCGACGTTGTCGTGTGTGTAACTTACTATAGTATGATATGAATCACATTTTCCCATTTTTAAAAAGCCAACGAGACGAAAAGACAATGGGGTAAAAAAAAAAAAGACTATTGTGATCAATCTTAGATGAACAGATAAATACTACAGTGCAACCGTGCAAGGTTTTTTCTTTTCCCAGGTAATTAATTTGGTGTCCGATTGAGTTTATCCAAATGTTTAATTAATAGAATATTTCCAAGTAAAAGGACAATAATTGTTTCCAAAAAACTGGAAAAAAAAAGAATATAGATTGCTGGAGTATGCTGATTTTTTATATTTCTCTATTAAAAAATCTTGATGGTCATTTTTTTTCATTTCTTTGTGTATATGTGTCTTTACACAATTTCATATCATCTTCTTTAAGATAAATCATAAATTATAGAAGGTCGACGAAGTAAAATGAGATGATGACGAGTCACATTGATGAGTAAGCTTTAATAGATAAAACTATATTTTGAAATCATATAGTAAAAAACTCGATTAGGATACATTTCGATTCATTTTATCTTAAGATAAGATTAAGAAAATTAGCTCGCTGAAATTTCTGATAACAACAAAAAAATCCGGAGAAGATGTTCGAAAAACGCAAAACAAAATCCTGAATAATTAGAAACTGAAACATGCTAGAAAGAAAATGTTGACAGAAACTTCCTGGTCTTGGAGTCCTTTGACTAGTGGATTCAGGATTCTCCAGAGCTGACTATGACTTATATTAAATTTCTTAAAAAAATGTATTCTAGTGTTCAGGTTTTAGCTTCCGTGTAATAACGGTAATACCTAAATAGCGTGAGGCATAGAAAACTTTCAAGAGTTGGAACATTTCTTAGTTGCTTTTTTTTTTTTAAATGAACTTTCTTAGTTTCTTCTTGTTTTCATTTGATATGGAGTCGAATACTTTAAAAATGACAGGTTAATGTTTATCGTTTTTTTGGAAATTGTTATTAATAAAATAATGTTAGGCCCATCCTCTCGCACCGAAGAAAATGAACCGAGACTCGTTAACACAAACAAAAACGGGAATGGAGGAACCGACCGATTTTAGCCATGTGACCACATGCCGTTTATTGCCCAAACGTCGTATATCGAGGCGCTATTTACTTATTTTTTAATTTTTGTTTCATTATACATTTCACATATAAAAACGAAAAAGTGAATCGAATCCAACTTTCAATAACCATTTTCTGTTGGTTGAGATCTTCAACGTTTTCTCGTCTAATGCTACTAAATAAATATAGGGAAACGAAATTTGTGATTGCTTTTTCTAATCAAACTTATTTTGTTTTTGTCGTCTCTTGTCAAACTATTTTAAACCGTTAATATGAATTTGCTTGTCAATTATATTGCCAATTTAGTATTACACAAATACACTATAGAAATCCATTATAATTGATGGTAATTGGAATGTATATATGGTAAGCCAAACATATTGGGAGATTTCGCAAAGGGATCAGAAATTTCTTTTGAAACTCTTTTTATAAACCAACTTCTTTTGTGTAAGCCAAACATATTGGAAGTTTTATTTTGCCAGCTGATAATTCTAAATCAGACTAAATATAAATATATTCTTACCTGGAATACTATCAAATTGTCATATTCTACAGCTCAAACTCCATAGATGAGGATAACCGAACAATAGTAAATTGATTTGGTATGTATCAAATAGCAAACTCGTGTAATATATGCTATATTTCTTTGAATGTGTGTAGCAAGTAGGAACAGTCAGATTTACGAAAAAAAAAAGAACAGTCAGATTTACATTTCAACAATATATGAGGATATACAGTATGCAGGAATGCATGCATGAAGTTGAAACCTATCAAATGTAGGACCAACCAAAAAATAAATTTCCATCTATAAAAAGTAGGAAAGAAAATAAAAATAAAAATAAAGGAATAAGAAATAAGGAGGAATTAAAAGTCAATAAGCTTAGGCCTAGGAAACTGACCGGATGTGAAGAAAGATTTACCAAAGTCAAGACATCTCAACTCACCAATAGACACCATAGTAATAAATCACTTCCACAGTTAAGGAGAAAATCGCGGGGAAAAGAAGATGTATACACCAACATAGAAACTAGAAAGCGTGCTTCGCAATTATCTCTTCTTTTTCTACACAAAAACCATCTCTCTCTGACTCACTGTCCTTATATTTTTCGAAATTCCATTCTAACCAATAAAGTGCATCTAATTTGGTCCCACTGCCATCACAATTTAACAAGCATAAGCAAATAATATTTTAAGTATTTAGTTTAACCGAGTTACAAAAATGAGCTAGAGACTATATATACTATATATGAGATTTGAGTTTCTTCTTGAATGGAAGGAATTTTTTTCCTGTTAAGAAGCACATTATAAGCATTACGCATGCGTCCTAAGAAACCCACTCGACGCAGATGGCTGACCCAAACGGAAAAAAGGCGCCAACATCCCAAAATTTAGCATTATCATCTTGATGTTATTGAAATAAAAGAGAATGAACTTTTGCCTTTGTTAGCTTGTTTATCCTTTTAAATATAAACTGGTCTGAAGAATCTAACTTCTTTTTATAGTGTAGTCTTGGTAGCTAATAACTGGTCGCAGAATGTGTTCCATTTTGTATGCCATCTCAAAAGATCACATGTTATATAGCACAATTATGACCGAAGAGAAAAAAGCGTAAGATCTGTCCTATGTAAAGACCCATTAAAGGCCCATAAATGAAAGCCCAAAACAAAGAAAGACTCGAGTCGCGCATATGAACAAATTCACGCGAATTTAGTTAGCGTTGTCGGATCATTTGTTTTCGCTCGCTCTATTCTTTCTCCCTTCCGATCTGCTGGGTTGTTCGTGCTTGCTTCCTCAATGGCGGCACGATCCCTGTGGAGAAGCCGTGCGAGGCTCCTCGTTCTTGGTACCGCCGTATGCGGTGGTTCCGGCGCCGCCTTCATTGCTTCCTCCGAAGACCCGTCAGCTACTCTCAAGCTTTGCACCAACATCCCCGTTCGCCTCTTCCGCAACACCGTCACCGCCGCCTCCATCGCTTTCGGTACGAGAAAATGATTGAGAACCAAAATTATTGTTTACAGGATTTGTGTTGCTGCAATTCTCTTTCCTTTCAAATATCAGTTTTTGTTTGTTTTCCAATTGATTTTGATCTGTTGCTTTGATTGAGTTTGTGAATGAGATTGGTTTTATCTGAGCTCTCTTATCTGGGAAATTCCAACGGTATTGGAACGGTTTAGGGAATGTAATTCCTCGAGAATCCTAAGGCTCATCGAAGCAAATGTTAAATTGCATCTAAATGCGTTTTTATCTATGCATGGTGTTTGTTTGATATTTACGTTTGATTCTGTCGAGCTTTTTAAGTTTTTTTTTTTTTTCAATTCATGACAGTTGGGATTTGCATAGTTTTTTTCAATTTATATGATTTTAGTCATTTTCTTGCGAAGAACCGTTTTGCTACCTAAGAAGTAACGTTATAGTTTGTGGTTTGTGCTGTTAGATTATGAATACTCGTTGTCGGGTTTGGCTGAGGGAAGCAAGGAGAGAGCTAGGGTCAAACATGCAGTCCACCTAAGGTCAGCCCAAAAGCTTCAAGAGCTCTGTTTTAAAAATGGAGGAATCTATATCAAACTCGGCCAGCATATTGGACAATTAGTATGTAAAGCTATGCTTTTTTTTTTTAACCATTGAATGTCTGAGATTGGAAATGTTCAGTTAATTCCTTGGATGTTAAGAAAAGAACCGTTTTTGTTTTTGCTTTTGTGTTTCAAGGATTATCTTGTGCCTGAGGAGTATGTTCATACTATGAGGGAGTCAATGTTGAACAAGTGCCCTGTTTCTTCGTATGAGCAAGTATGTGAGGTTTTCAAGAAAGAGGTTGGAGAAACGCCAGACAAAGTATGCGCTATTATCCATTGCTTTTATCTTAAATTTGTACAACCACACTTCACGCTTCATTTATGAATGCATCTCCTCATTTTGGCTATGGTATTTTATCTGCAGGTATTTGCTGAATTTGACCCTGTTCCAATTGCAAGTGCTTCCCTTGCTCAAGTTCATGTTGCTCGCACCCATGACGGAAAAAAAGTTGCTGTCAAGGTCCTCAATGGAACTATATTTACTTTATACGATGCGGAAAAACAAGTTTTTGCAAATCCTTAATTAAAGATGTTGAACTTGTTAAGAGTATTTGTGTACTTACGCTATTTATTATCTTGAATTTATTTTCTGCAGGTTCAACATGCGCACATGACAGACAGTGCAGCTGCGGATACTGCAGCTGTAGGAGTTATAGTGAATACCTTGCACCGGATATTCCCGTCATTTGACTATAGGTTCAGTCTCTTTCTCATTTCCAATAGACACGGTTCATTGTCCATTTCTCTTACAACAGCTTATTCTAAGCCATGTACGCAGGTGGTTGCTAGATGAAATGAGTGAAAGCTTACCAAAGGTTGGTGTCTTTAGTTGATTCATAACATTTATGGTTTGCTTCGATGTGTTTTATACAGCTTTCTATGTTATATTACTGTCTATTCTGGATCATTTATGTATAGTCCTTTACTTTTTGCTCACTGGTTTGATATTTTGATTTCGTTATTAATGTATTCTTTCATCAGGAACTAGACTTTTTGGTTGAAGCGAAAAACAGTGAGAAATGTCTGGATAATTTTAGGAAGCTATCTCCCCATATTGCAGAGTATGTTTATGCCCCAACGATTTATTGGAACTTGAGCTCCTCAAAGCTGTTGACTATGGAGTTCATGGATGGTGCTCAAGTGAATGATGTGGCTATGATCAAAAAGCTTGGGATTCAGCCCTATGAAGTATCAAAGCTAGTAAGCTGTTTAACCTTTGATCTTTTAAGACATTATGGATTTCTTGAAAAGAAATACCCTTTATAGACTTGTATGGAGAAACAAATTGTGATATGCGTTAAGCTCTTCTTTGCAGGTGAGTCAAGCTTTTGCAGAGATGATGTTTAAACATGGGTTTGTGCATTGTGATCCACACGCTGCCAATTTGATTGTTCGTCCAGCTCCTTCTGGTAAAAGGAACATATATGGCAAGCAAAAACCGCAACTGGTGCTTCTTGACCATGGCTTGTACAAGGAGCTTGACTTCAACACAAGATTCAACTATGCTTCACTATGGAAAGCCCTGGTCTTTTCGGATGCTAATGCCATCAAAGAACACAGTGCAAAGCTAGGCGCTGGAGATGATCTGTACGTGCTTTTCGCCGGGATTCTTACAATGAGACCATGGAAGCAAGTCATTGACACATCTGTGGATCATTTAGTCATCCAAGGCACTAAAGAAGATCGGTCAGAGCTACAAATGTACGCATCACAGTATTTCCCTCAAATCTCAGAGCTTCTCAGGAGATTGCCACGCGTAATCCTTCTGATGCTGAAAACAAATGACTGTCTCCGGTCGGTGAACAATGAACTGTTGCAAGGATCGTCGCTTGAGTCGTTCTTGATCATCGGGAAAGTGTCTTCAGAAGCGGTTATGGAGGCAAAGTGGTCACAGAAGAAGTCGTTTATGAAATGGTTGAAGGTATGGCTTGAAGGATTCTCTGTGGAAGCAAGGCTCTGGGTAATGCAATTCGCACTTTGGGTCTTACAAGTCAGAAAAGCCTTGACTCTATAATATAATAGTATCATACGAAAATGTTACAGCCAATTTATATACACATCTCAATTCTTTTGGTCTGGGGATTGACATTTATCATTCTTTGTATACACAAGCTGTTGTATTATGTACCATTTAAATCAACTTATATTAAAGAAACCATGAGATATGGTGGGAATACACTTCTCATAACCATTAAATTTAATTGAAAGAAAAACGACAATATTTAGTTCTCATCGTACTGCTTCGAAGTAATTCATATGCTGTATCATACACTTCCGGTATAAACCGAGATAGTACGGTTCGGTTCGGTTCTGATTTTGTTTTGGTTTATTCGAGACAACCTTAATTAATTAAGCAGTAGCCATCATCTTGTCTTTTCAGCTTGTCGACACTCGAAATCAGTCTCTCCTGCTCAGCCGCGTCTCCTCTGTCTCCACCGCTCGGAAATCTCCCGCGGATTGCTAATTACAGCATCTTCGGTAAACTCTTCTTCTTCTTCTTCTTCTCTCTCCGTCTCCAATGGTTCGCTTTTTGTGTCCCTTAGATAAACCGTCAAAAGAAATCGAGTGCTTTCAAATCGCAAGAACATTGTCAAAATCTGATTGATGGCTTCTGTGGTCTTGATTTTAGGATATGCAATTGATTTCTTTTGATGAAATTTGGGTCTCAATTTAGTTAATTTATAGTGTTTCTATTATTGGCTCTCTCTAAATTTTTTGATACACATTTGTCTTGAGTTCTTGAATTGTCTTGTAGGTTAGATGGAAGACAGTGATGCTGTCCCAAAACCAGTTGTTGTTGACCCTCCTTTACACAACGAAGCTCCTCCGTCGGCTTCTCAGCGCCGACCGGTGATTTTCGCAGCCGACGCCGTCGCAGCTCCACGGGCGGAAAATCATCTCATTCAGCGAATTCAAAGAGCTCTTGTGGAGTTGCGCGAGTTGAGAAACCAGTTTAATGCGATTCTTAGGGAACTAGAGCTCGAAGGTTCGTTTTGTTTCTGCTTCCTATGTGTTTTGTTTCTCAGTTTATATACTTTCTTTGTTGTTGAAAAAAGCAACAATTTGATGATACAGTGGGAGGAGAAGAAGAACAAGCGGAATCATCAGTAGAGGATCCAGAGGACGACTCTGATTCTTAGTGTTATTGGATGTTTTTTGTTTCTTGTCGATCTATCAAATGTTTCAATCTCTGCCCTGATGATTTTAGTGTGTGAATTAGTTTTCCAACTCATCAAACTACTAACCTTGTTCCTTTTGTTATTTTGATTGAAACCGAGAGAATCTTTGTCCAGAGTAAACCGAACAAACCAAAGTCAAAATCCGGTTATTTGGAACAAGGAAAACCACACACCAATAGAAAAAGAAAAATTATTCGGTTCAATATTCGACACATGAAACAAGGAAGTTTGAGGGTTGAATAAAGAATTTGGAAGGTAGAACAATCGAAACCAAAACCAAACTGCAAACCGTTTTCAATTAGAAAGGAAAAGAAAAAACAAGGCTTTCCAATGTTCAAGCTATTGAATTGGAATATCGTAATCTAATGCTGAAAATAGTGGATAGGTTTGCAAAGAATGGTGAATTGAAATCTTTTTCTTGATTTTCTGATACTTAATCATTGTCTATTTGTTGTTAATTGTGACTGCCATTAATTCCAGAAAGTGTTAGTAAATTTGAAGATTCCACAGAACAATAATATAATCATCTATTTTTTTAAAATGGCATAAGAAGAAGAGCCTAAAGAAGTCTCAAGTGGATAGCTCTATTGTGACTTCCAGTAAAAAATTAGGATTACTTATGTTGTGTAACTGAACGTAGAAGCTCATCTACAAAGGCCCAATAGATAGAAATAGCCGACGGTATGGTTAAAGTGAAGATCTAGGCTGCATCAAAACGGTAACGAATAAGCCATGAACGTTTTGAAAAATAAAAACGAAATTTGTGAAAAATATGAATACGGAAACGTTTTAAGAAACGATAAATACTCATATTGCATTATACATATTTTCACATATGTAGTGTACTAGTGTTCAAATATTTTGATATTCAAAAAACCCAAAAAGCAAAGATATCAAAAGCTATACTGAATCAGCTCAAAGTTGGGTATGACTTATGAGAGCTGTTCTAATAATATAAACAACATAGTTTCTTCAGAGTTTTCTATCTTTGATTTGGTTTGTGACGATCGGAATAATTGAAACTAGTAAAAAATGTTCAAAGATAACAGCCGTTTTCTTTAACAAAAAAAAAAAAAAAAGAAAGATAACAGCCGTTTTCTTTAACAAAAAAAAAAAAAAAGAAAGATAACAGCCGTTTTCTTTAACAAAAAAAAAAAAAAAAGAAAGATAACAGCCGTTTATACTTTATAGGTCTCTAAAATTGGCGGTAGAAAGCAAAAATTCACTTGAAAGATTCCCTCTCTTTAAATTTCCCGCCGTTAATCTAATATTTCAACATTTGGAAATAAAAATAAGAAATTAAATATAAATTTTTTCACTACTAATTAAATTTGTCAAGTAGAATTAGATATCCCGTCGGCAAAAATACTCACTAGTCACCACACAGACGCCGTCGGGTAAGCTCTCTCTCCTCCCCGCTCTATCGATTCCGGCGAATTTGGCCGCGGTATTGACGGTGCCGCTTCCTTATGAACAGATTTAGGATTGCTTTTCACATCGATGCGGGATCTAGAAAATTTGGTTTTCAATTAGAAAGTCAAATTCGAATAAGGGTTTTTTGCTTTTCAGATGCTAAAATTGAGTAGATTAATGGTAGGGCTCATATGGTTTAGGCATTTGGAGATTTTTCGATTTCTGTTCCCAGAATTGACCAATAACAAAAGGTTAATTCATTTGCTCTGAAGACTGGAATTTCTGAACCGACTTATGTATGCTTAGCTTATATGCTCCTGCAGGCGAAGAATCCAAATCTCAAGCTTGGCTTGTGGAAATTAGCCATAAGAGCATGGCCAATTACTATGACATTGACGACATACTTATAGAGGAAGAGGTTAACTTCTTCTTTCCACTAGATTCCTTGAGGCTTCTCTTCTCTTCTATTTGTCTGACAATCATATCTTTTTTTTTTTTTTTTGCTTGTAGTTTGTCCCGGTATTATTTCATAAACCAGCAAATGGAGTGACTATTGATCCAAGTGCTGAGACAAACTGTGTCAGTGTTCTTTCTCACTTCTGGAGCAATTTCAAATGGGATAATTTGGCTTGTGATATGAGTTTTTTACTTTATTTTGTTTTAAATGTAATCTTTGTGCTGCTGCAGGTTGAACAAGGTGCCAAAGTGGAATTGCCCTTCTGGCTTGCCCATGAGTTGCATTTGAGACAAGCTGTATCCGTAACCCTGCCTGCCTGTTTCGATCAAAAGTAAGATAGCTTACTGTGATGCGTTGAGTGTATTCAAGTCACCAATGATGTAAAATTCTATTACTTAGCTTTGTTAAGTTAATTTTTCTTTCCCTGCCTTCTTTCTTTGTGTTTGTTCATCTGTCTCCAAGAATTGTTGCAAGTTCAGAGTACTGCATGTGTTTCTCTTTTCTTTTAGAAGTATTTTCATAGCTTTATTTGTATATGCAGGACGAGGCTGGAAATACAAGCTGATGCAGCATGTGTCGACCTTAGATCACGATGTCCATACTTCTACGAATTCGGGTGCAAGTTACAGCCATTGTGAGTCCTCCCCCTTTTTTTTTTTTATTGTTAATCTTTCACTTGGTTTTAAGAGTGAAACTCCTGGTTTCGATATGCTTTTTGGCGCTAAATTTAGCTCGTATACTGCATGAATTCATTCTGTTTCAAATGTTCAGCTACGTTTAATCTGTCACATGATATTTCATTGTGAGACGGTCTGGTAGAAATTGCCAAACAACTTATCGTTTGTCATCATCTCTCACTGACGCTTTATGGAAACCATATCACGGTTTTCTGGAACATAAAGCAATTCATCTTCAAATCTTAGTCAGTAATAGGACCTGTTTGGTTGGTCTACATCTGCATAATTTCACAGTTTGTTTGTCGCTTTGATTTGGGAACAGGGTTACAGATAGAACGCTAGGAATTTTGCTATCGACTGCGTTTAAGCTGAGATACAAGGAGAGGCTCACAAAAGTATACACTGCAGCTCATATAACAGCTTCCAAGTTCTTGCCACTCTTAACAAAAGAAGAAACAAACTGTAATTAAAACCTTCTAACTCTTTTTTTTTAGTTACCATCTTCTTCACCTGAAACCGCTACTGATTTTTGTCTGTTTTGCAGTGTACGAAGCAGCTCACTTGTCTATGACAGCCTTCAAGAAATGGAGAACAGGAGGTCCTCGTTTCCAAAGAGCTTCAATACTTGGAAGAAAACGCAAGGAATCTTATTAAATTGAGGTCCCTAAACTTTTATCTGCTTCCTCATCTTTATTCTCTTTGATGATTCGATCTGTTTGTGCGTCGCCATTGTCGTGATGTTTAAAATCATTTCATCATTATCATTATTACCATACAATAGTGTGATTGTATGATATAGGTGATGTGACATCATAAATTAGGTTCTCTTTTGCTTATTGCGGTTGAGAACAAATACATTTTGGTAAGATATATTAATGAAATTGCGATATGTATCGAAACTGATTGAAAGTAAAACCTAATCATGTGGCCATTCGTGTTCTTGAATGGCTCTCAGTAAGTTCTTCTTATCGAGAAGTGAATCTCGAATCTATTGTTCTTCCATTACAAAAGAACACAACTTTACTGCACTTTTTGGCCCTTCACTTTTCATAGCTTACCCTCTAAAATTTTTGTTTTTCATATTAAAAAACGAGCAAATTCCGACGGCCAATTCTGCCAAGTAGTATTTTTGAAAAAAATTTCGCAGTACTCAGGTTTTGAAAACCAAATTCTGATTACTGAACAGCGTGAAATTCCACGGAAGATTAAAGCTTGATTTTCATTTCCCATTAGAAAAAAACTTGATAGATTTTCTAAGAGTTCAAATAAAATGTTCGAATCAACGTATTATTAGTGAGGTTCAAATATGAGGCTGTTGACCAACGGCCAAAGAAAGATAACTTTGTTTCAACAATGAAGTTTATTTGTAGTTCGAATATGAAGCTATTGGAGATTATATGACTTTAATGGATATTAAATGGTCTTTATTGGATACTAAACCATTTTATTTGACGACAAAAAAAACATTTTTTTGTAACAACAAGTGTAAGTTTCGATGGAAACTCGTTCCGAGACGATGATTCTCCTTTTCAATGTCTTCTGTCAAGTTAATATTTTTGTAACGTCTTGCATTTTCGGATATCAGATATTTGGTGTGTTATATTACAGATATCTTAACGAATAAGATCTTAAAGTGTTAAAAAGAAAAAAAAACGCTGACCAGATCAAAGACAAATTTTAGATGAAATGACATCATACGTATGGGAATTTGGTTCTGCATCGTGGCAAGTATTACACCATATACCTTTTTCCCTGTTTTATTCATATTTTAAACTATTTACTTATAATAAAATATCTTGAGATATTTCTCAAGTTAGAGAGAGAATCAGAGATCCTTATCTCTCTCCCATTTTAAAATTCTAAAAAATTCAGAAAAGTGCAGAAAAAGCTCTGTGCTTTATTCCTCTCAACCAATCACTGCACACCTTCAACTTCAAATGTTTCCAGTTTTCGCATGCGCGTGTTCTTCAATACTCGATAGATACGTTTAACTGCTATCCACGCGCTAATTATTCGCGTGGTAATGAAACAGAACTACTTGCCTCCGTGTCCATTTTCTCTCAGATATTTTCTATAAATATCTGGTTTCTCTTGAGTGCGTAAAATCCAAAAAAATCATAAAAAAATAAAAATAAAAACACAAGAAAGATAACAGAAGAACATTTTCGGCGATAAAAACAAAAGTGTTAAAAGTGTTTTTTTTTTTAAAGGAATGAAAAGGAACGGCGAGACGAAGCGGCGGAGGAACGTGGCGGAGGAGGCGGAGCAGGGAGGAGGAGGAGAAGATCCGGCGATGTGGGAGAATCTAGATCGGAATTTCAGACAAGTGCAATCGGTTTTGGACAGAAACAGATCACTGATCCAGCAAGTCAACGACAATCACCAATCGAGAATGGCTGATAACATGTCTAAGAACGTCGCTTTGATTCAAGAACTCAACGGAAACATCTCCAAGGTTGTTTCCATGTATTCTGATCTCAACACTAATTTCTCATCGGCGTTTCACGGTGCTAAGAACGGTCACGACGGTGGTGGTTCTGCCGGAACCAGAGCTAACTAATCAACCGGATCAAATTGATCTTTATTAATTAGTTGGACCGTCCGGTTTGGAAACTCTGAATTATAAGTCGGTTTAAGCTATGGTCTCTTATAATGTTAGTTTTATTGCAATGATTGTCGTTAGAATAATCCGTGGGAGAAAACCCATCATTTGGGTTATTTTAATTATGGTTTGAGTCTTTTTCAATGTGTCTCTACTGCAATTTCTCTAATAATAATAATAAACTGATGTTACTTATTAGCTTAATCTCGAATGATAACAGACGTTACATTACTCATACTTTTTGTTTTGATTCTACTTTAAAGCCTCTTCTTATATGATCTCGACATTAATGAAGGTTGTTCGGTACAGCGTTACATTAGTCTCGTTGTTGCAACTTGGATAACTTTCGTCACCTAATGAAGTAATGATGCAATTTGATATGACATGTAGATTGAGAATTTAATGCTCTATAACCGAAAAAAATAAAGAAATGAAAATGAAAACCGTGAGAAAAATAAAACTGTTAATGAGAACAATTTGTTTAAATCCAAGCTTACTTGTAATCAGTCTAATCCTAGACAATTCAGATAAACTACCAGAGATCTTAATAAGACTAAAGAGCTTAGTTTTTGGAAATCCCATAAACATATACTACAAACTTACTAAATCTGATTAGTGAAAAAGGTTGAAGGTCCAAATAAAAGATAAACAGAATACAAATCACATTACTGTGAAACTAAACATTATAAGGAAAACTATTTGGACAACTAGACCTGATGGGCTTTAATAGATAGAATGGACTTGCTTTCGATATATCGTGGATTGACAACGGGCTCGAACTATATTTATTTTCGGTTTTGAGAATATATAATTTCAACATAATACTTTATATTTAGATTTTCTTATCTCGCTGCTAATCTCTCAACAAATCATCAACTAAAATTATATACGTATATGCAATATGTACCTAATCATTAGGTGATTAATGACAAATTGAGGACCTAACACTACACTTTGACCTCAATTTAATAAATAATTTACATCAAACTGTATTGAATTTAATAGTAGTTATCTATATTTATAAAATTTTAATAATCGGGATTTAAAGGTCTTACTCCAAACAATATTTCTATATGTTGTTCAACAAACATATTAAAGTACCACCAATCTGAAGATCATAGATCGATTACAAGTAGTTATTCAATAATACGGTGATTATTGGACATATAAAACATGTTTCAATGGTCAATGTCAGGAGTCTTACAATTTTAAACAAAAAAAAAAACATTGTAATAATCATTGATTGAGTAACAAAATTAAAAAAAAAAATAGAAGATGCAGTGTTGCAGAGGGAATCCTTAGGCTTGAAGCGATAGAAACAATTGAGAGCACATTAGGTACCAGTCCAGATGTCCCGTCCCGTCAACAATGAAACTATACTATTGAAAATTCTTCATCAAACCCCAAAAAATATTATTAAAAAAAAAAACTTAAAGGAGTTTCCAATTTAACCGATCTCAGAGCTCAATAATTACACTTGATGCCACTCCCTCTAACACTTTCTCTCTCCCAGTTCTCAATCTCTCTCTCGATCTCCAAAATCTTCCATTTTCACTTTCTCTCTGCCTAGGTTTTTCTTGCTGCTGGGTTTTTTTCTCCGTTTAGCGTTAGTGACTTGGGTCTTGAGCTCCGTTTCTCGACAATGGCGGTTTCTTTGTGAGAGCTCGTGTCTTTGTTCTACAAAAAAGTTAACTTTCCCCCTTTTTATTTTCTTCCCATCCTCACTTTCTGTTTTACTTTCAAGCGGGAAAATTTGTGAGAATGTGTTGCAAATTAAGGTTTTCAAGCTTGTGAAGTTCGATTTTTCGTTTTGGGTTTCTTCAATTTTATGACTAATTTAGAGTTGCTAGTACAATAATTTAACTTTTAGATTAGGATATTGTTTCCGTTGTCGAGGGAGTAAATTGGAAGCTAAGTTAGGTTGTAGTAATCTTTTGATCTGTAAGTTTGGTTGAGAGCGATGAATCGAAGTTTTAGGGCACAAGAGTCTCTATTGCTGGATTCAGCAGAGAGGCAGAGGCAACAGCTTAGGGCTTCTATGATGGCTGAGAAAGATGAAGAGCTCTCTTTGTTTCTCGAAATGAGACGGCGCGAGAAAGAGCAGGATAATCTCCTTCTCAATAACCCTGATGAGTTCGAAACTCCATCAGGTAAATACAACGTTTTTTTGGTTTTTGTTTTTCTCTAATTTGTGGAGACATGCTTTGATTTGGTAAAGGAGCTTAATTAGTAGTCGATGGTTTTGGTCCTGTAGGTTCAAAGCCTGGAACTTCACCAGTTTTTAATCTCTCTAGTGGTGCTCCAGCTCGAAAGACAGCTCCTCCAGATGACTTTCTCAATTCCGAAGGCGACAAAAATGATTATGAATGGTAACTTTTTAACCACAATTCTTTTTGAAGCTAACATTTTTACATGTTGCGGCGGTTATGGTTCATAACTTCAGTTTATGAACACATTCACCGGTGATTCTTTAGCAATCTTAGGTGCAAGCAGTTTAATTTTTAGACGTGAGGTTTTAAAAGTGATATAGCTGTGGTCGTAATGTTTGTAGTTGCTGCATGTAAACCTCGAATTGCTTGGTTTCTTCGCATTCATCATTGTCGTTATGGTTCATAACTTCAGTTTATGAACACATTCACCGGTGATTCTTTAGCCATCTAAGGTGCAAGCAGTTTAATTTTTAGATGTGAGGTTTTAAAAGTGATATAGCTGTGGTTGTATTGTTAGTAGTTGCTGTATGTATACTTCGAATTGCTTTGTTTCTTCGCATTCATCGTTGTCTATATTAGTCATGTGTGGAATCTAATAGACTCGTATTTGATGTCGGAATATGGAACTCTTCGTTGGTGAGTTGTGTGAGTCTTGCGTAACTGAGAGAAGCGCCAGCATTGAATGCTTACCAATTTGATAACTTCACTGTGTAAAGTGTTCTTGATACTGAAAAAAGACGTGGAAGAGTTAGTTGTAGCGTACCTGTTATCTCTCTTAGACATTCACTCCTAGTTTCTAAAAAAAAATATCATTTATCTGTTAACCTTTTCCACCCTAACTTCTCTTTTGTCTTTCGAAGGCTTCTGACCCCTCCAGGTACTCCTCTGTTTCCATCGCTGGAGATGGAATCACATAGGACTATGATGAGTCAAACTGGTGATTCAAAGGCTCGCCCGGCTACATTGACTTCTAGGGTAAGAATGTTATTGCTCACTGTTTAAATCAAATCCTGGATATTAGATAAACAGCCAAAACTAGGGCAACCAGTGTTAAGAGAAAGCTTCATTGATATTGGTTTTTATATGTTTTAGAGCTACTGGTTAAACCTGCCATGCATCAGTTTGATGCGTTTACATCTCAAGTTTATATTTCATGTTTTCCCCAGTAAATCGCAGTTATCCTTATTGTTATGTTGGATGTTGTTCTGGATTTTCTTAGAGTAGCACATTTTCCATATTATAAGGTTGATGCAAAGATATACATTCCAAATCAGATTCTTGTATTTTTACACACTTGAATTGAACAAATAAATTCCATTGTTTTATAAGTTTTTTTCTATATTTGGAATCATTACTTCAATATGGTAACCTATGAATTGTATTTTTTGTAGCTGGCGAATTCCTCCTCATCAGAGCCTGCTGGAAGGAACCATCTAACATCTAGACAACCAACTTCTTCTCCTGGATTAAGCTCTTCTAGTGGAGCAAACCGGAGACCTTCATCATCTGGAGGACCTGGATCAAGACCCGCCACGCCCACTGGAAGATCATCATCACTGACAACTAATTCAAGACCCTCAAGGCCTTCAACACCCACTTCGCGAGCCACCGTCTCCTCAACTACTCGACCTTCCATGACTAACTCCAGGTCCACAGTATCTGCAACAACTAAGTCTATGCCTATGACTAGGTCAGCAAGTTCATCTAGGCTTACACCTTCTGCATCTAAACCTACTATTACAACTGCTAGATCTACTGGTTCAACAACTAGATCTACCACCAGCACGGCCACAAAATCTGCAGGTCCTTCGAGGTCCACCACACCTCTGTCAAGATCTACTGCCAGATCTTCAACACCAACTTCAAGACCCACACTTCCTCCACCTAAAACAGTATCAAGGTCAGCTACACCGACTCGCCGTCCAATCAGTTCTGCAAATGCTGCAACCACTACATCAAAGCCAACAATATCCCAAATCAAGCCTTCCTCTCCAGCGTCGAAACCTATGCCAACACCATCTAAAACTCCTGCTGTATCACGTGGATCTTCTCCTACAGTAAGGTCAAGGCCATGGAAGCCATCAGACATGCCTGGTTTTTCACTAGAAACTCCTCCAAATCTAAGGACAACATTACCCGAAAGGCCACTTTCAGCAACAAGAGGCAGACCCGGAGCTCCAAGTCCTCGTTCTGGTTCAGTTGAGCCAGGTGGTCCGACAGGTGGAAGACCGAGAAGACAGTCATGTTCACCATCAAGAGGTAGAGCACCAATGTACACTAGTGGTAGCTCTGTTCCTGCGGTCAACCGTGGGTATTCCAAAGCCAATGACAATGTTAGTCCTGTGTTGATGGGAACAAAAATGGTGGAGAGAGTAATAAACATGCGGAAACTGGCTCCTCCAAGACCAGATGACAAGGGTTCCCCACATGGTAACTTGTCTGCAAAGTCTTCATCACCAGACAGTGCAGGATTTGGAAGATCACTCTCCAAGAAATCCCTTGATATGGCAATAAGGCATATGGTGCGTAATATCATTCTCTCTCTCTCTCTCTCTCCCTTTCTATCTTCCCCATTAGTATTACAAAGACATTTGCGGGAGTGTGTAATAACTGGTGAATCTGACATTATGATGAAAACAGGATATACGTAGAACCATACCAGGGAATCTGAGACCACTAATGACGAACATTCCAGCATCATCAATGTACAGTGTGAGATCTGGACATACTCGTGGCAGACCTATGAATGTTGCAGATTCTCCACTAGCAACAAGCAGCAACGCAAGCTCAGAGATCAGTGTGTACAACAACAATGGAAATTGCTTAGAGGCAAGCGAAAAGGAAGATGACGCAGGCAGCGAGAGAGGTTGCAGGTCCCCTGCAAGCTTACAAGGGAGGTGATGGAATGCTGAAAAAGCCTTTTGTAAAACGTTGACCTTTGAGATCCTACTTGTCTTTATTATTATTATTGTGAGTTTCTTTCACACGAGTTTGATGATGATGATGATATGTGAAGTAGCGTTTTGATATTTTATGTAAACCTCTCCACTCTCGTCTTTCTACTTTTTAACCCTAAAGTCGCCTCTGGCCCTATGGATGATGGATCCATTAACCAATTCATTTGAGATTATTAACACTTTTCAATGACTCCTGATTGAAATTTAAACATGAATGTCATCAAATATCATCCGATACGACATAATTATGTTAATAATAACACAGATGATCCCTTACAAATCTCAGCAGTATATAACACACCAAATGAAAGGCAAAAGACCGAATCACACAGAACTAAGCAATGAATAAGAAACCAAAGAGGGTCTCTTAAGCAGTAGCAACCGCCTCGGTGGGCTTGGTTTCGGGAACATTCTTTGGAGGAGGAGTAGCCGCCGCCTCTGATGGAGGTTGAGGAGCGAGTTTCAGGTGAGAAGGCGGATTCTGTTTGAGCTTCAGCAGAATCTGTCTCATTCTTGCAAGATCGGTTGGCTTACCGGGCTTTGGACCTTGAATCACAGAGATTGATGGCTTCTTAGGGTCTTGCTCTTTCTTCCCTCTTCTTTTCTCTATTGTTGGAACCTCTTTGGGAACTAGCTCTGCTATTGCCTTCCAGTAGTTCTTGCTGGCTTCCGCATAGAACTTCTCTTGGGTCTCCACAAAGAGCTTAAGTGATCAAAGACAAAACAAACGTGTGAGCAATAGTTCAACCAACGCTGTTTAAAAGGCAATATGCAGCTAAAATAGGCTCACATTAACTAACTACACTAGCGTAAAACATACTAGATCAGTTGGGAATGGACAGTTGTGCAGAATAGGAAAAAATCGCTAAACTAAGAATGCATCAAGATAATCTACAACAGTCGACTAAGAATAAGATGGCCACCTAAGTTGAAAATCTTAGTTTTTACTAGCCATTGCTAGAGGGCAAGGATTTTTTTGTGTGTGTGAGGAAATAGAAAAGAGTAATAAATAAAAAGAAGAAGAAGACACCTTTTCCTTCTCCCTGTTAGCAGCTTTGTTGTTTTCACAAGTTAATTCCCTCTTCTTATGGAAATCCTCTTTGAATTGATTTGCTTCCTCAATTATTTGGTTCCGCACTTCCTTTTCTTTCTTCTCCTTCTCCTCAAGTTGAATTGCATTTTGTCTTCAGATAAATATAAACCATAGCACGATATATCACTCACCAAAACACATTGATCGAGTAGCTAATTTTGCAGGATACAGATAATATGGAACACGACATCAGATCTATAATTCCGATCAACTTAACAAACCATTACAAGACATGAAAATTGTAGATCCGATCTAATTACTTCTTAGAACAATAGGACACTAAAAAAATGATAATTCGAAGAGCAGATTAGCATCAACTTACAGAGTTATGCATCAAGATCAAAAATTGAAAATCTCAGATTAATATACAGATTCCAAGTTTTCTAGAGTGAATCATCCAATTTCCCAGGCAGAGAAGTAAGCCTAAAGCGAAACAAGTATTAGATCAGATCTAACCTTCTCCATTCTCTAAGAGCGTATCCCTCATCAGATTCCATTTCCGACGGGGGTGGCAAGATAGGACCGTCGTGTCCACCGTTGGATCCGAAGACGCCGTCTCCGTTCGAGTAACCGCCGTAGTCCGAAGACGGCGCCGCAAACACATCATCGATGGAGTCATCGACTGGGACTGAGCCTTCGTAGGCTGAGAAGGAGTTGTCAGTGGTGTTGTCAAAGGAGGCTGAGACTGGAACCGATTCAGACGCATCATCTCCGAGTATAACGAAGGAATCCTCAAAGACAGACATCTTTGGATCAGAGCTCAGAGCAAGTTTGGGTTTCTTCTAGAAAAAGCACAAGAAATCAACTCGCGAAATCTCAATCTCAATAAGCTCGTCAAATGGCAAATGGAAACGGAGATTAAAAGATTGAATTGGGTCGGTTTTCGGATTTGAGAGTGAGCATTTCGGTTTAAATCAAGCCTTTTTTGGTTTATTTGTCAGATTGAATTGGGACGGTTTATCCAATTTTAACTCTCGTAAAAAATAATGTTCTTTGTGTGTTATATAGTTTTGGTAGAGACAGATATGCATTGAAGTCCAAGATTCAAGTCAGAGAAGCAAATGAAATGGCAAATGCATTGTCTAATAAATTAGTCAATGTCAAGGCATCACCGGAGAAAATTACAATGCCGCAAGACTCCAAAACTAAACCAGTCACTGAAACCTAAAACTTATTTCCAGACAATAAGATCTGCAACTAGACAAAACTGCAATGTACACATTGTTTTGCAGTAGGACATCAGAGTCTTTAAATGAAAAATAACCGAGACATTCTCTCCACTCTTTATGTACATCTCAAAATAAAAGAGTGGATGATGTTTAGAGGAGTCTTCACCTCTCCTACCAATCGACTGGGCCTATTCCTGAGGCTGAGTCTCAGCCTGTGTCTCAGAGTCTTCACCTCCATCACCAATCGGCTGAGCCTGAGCCTGAGGCTGAGAGTCTTCACCTCCATCACCAATCGGCTGAGAGTCTTCACCTCCATTGCCATTCGGCTGTGACTGAGGCTGAGTGGCGTCTTGCTTGCTCCTTTCTCTGTTTGCATCATCCCGCCTTTTGTAGTACTTGCCGATGAATTCTTCAGCCAGGTTGGGGAATTTCTCCATCACATAGTTGATGATGCATTTCCTGTATGAAAAGTCTTGTTTGGCCCCATCGGTTGAGACAACAAAGAAGCACCTGCTTTCAGTAAACGTCGTGTGCTTATCGACCTACATTGTTCCACCAAGAATTTTTCACATCAGACCTAAGACTTATCAAAGCTTTAGAAGAGATGCTCAACTGTAAAGGAGAATGCTATTTACCGTGATGAAATCAACACCGGAACCAAGCTTGGAGTCTTTGTCAGGATGGAAGTTCAAAACGTGCTCCAGGACATATGACTTGTCAGCATCCGAGATTGGTTCTCCATCAGGGTACCTTTATCGAAACAACACAGTTATACAAATATGAAGCCTAACGTATATACGGAATATGTAACTGCACAAAATATACTTAGAACTGGAAATTGGATAGGTTGAGTTGAAGAACTAAAAATGCATACCCGGAACGATGCAATATGTTCCTGAGTTTCCTCGTGACTGGCTCGACATCTGAGAGAAGCTCTTGCTCCTCTGAGGTGAACATGTCCAAGCGCTGTCCTGTTGCTGTAAACATGGGAGCCAACTTCATCTCAGATCCAGGGGTCCTAGGAGGACGATTCTTCTTCCCATCTGCACCACCACCATTGGACCAGCTACCATGTGAGTCAGAAGATGGATATCTCTTGGTTGGAATTCCCCACTGTCTTGTCTCAGTCTCATCCTTCTCTCCGCTATTGGTCGCCTTCAAGGATACCCACGGATTTCCATCATCCCCATTAGTATCCTTGTCTGAAGAAGTGGCACTTGGCTGTCCCCAAGAATCCCAAGCAGCAGGACTTGGGTCAGTTTCAGAATTCTTCTTACCCCAAACAGCAGAGCCGGATCCAGTGTCCGAGTTCTTTCTTTCCTTAAAACCCCAATTAGTAGCACCTAATTCACCTTCTGAGTTCTTGTTGTCCGGGGAACCCCAAGCAGCTGGACCTGACTCAGTTTCTGAGTTCTTTTTGTCCCAAGTACCCCATGTAGGCGTACCTGATCCAGTGTCGGAACTCTTTGTGGGCTGAGGACCCCAAGCACCAGCACCTGATTCAACTTTAGAATTCGTATTGTTTCTAAAACCCCAACCTGCATCACCAGACTCAGTTTCTGAGCGCTTTTCGCCCCAAGAACCCCATGCAGCTGATTCTGTTTCTTTGTTCATTTTGTACCCGGCACCCCAAGCAGCAGCATCTGTTTCTGTTTCTTTGTTCACTTTGTCCCCGAAACCCCAAGCAGAAGCATCTAATTCAGTTTCAGAGTTCTTCTTGTCCCTGGAAACCCACGCAGCAGGAGCTGATTCAGTTTTTGAGTTCTTTTTTTTCCAAACCTTTTCTGAAACAGATTTGGGTCCCCAGACGTCAACAGAAGGCTCATTGTTTTCTATGACCATAGAATCCTTCTGAGCTGGTCTTGTTTCCCAGCTCGGTGTTGTATTTGCATCGTTATCTTTTGGCTTTGAGCCCCAAGCACGCCATGAATCTGACCTGGAAGATTCTTGAGCATCTTTTTTACTGTTCCAACCAGACGAAGCATCTTCCTTTTCAACATTTGTAGTCTTTTCCCAACCAGACTGCGGGTTTTCCTCACCACCTGTATTTCTCGAGAGATCCCATTCTGAGCCACCACTGAAACCATTGTCCCACTTGGATTCTGATGGCTTGCCTTCATCATGTATATTTTGGAACTCGGCACTGTCCTCAAACTTGAGCTCTCCAAGAGCAGAGTCTCGCTCGGGCGATTCAGCCCATTCAGCCATGTCTTCCTCTGTAACATCAAAACCAGGGGAAGAAGCATATGCATCTGCATTTGTCGTGGATCTTACCATTTGGAGAAAGCTGTACACATCTGTTTCATTTTCATTTTCTAGACCAGTCTGCAAATAGGTTGACAGTAAAGAACATCAGATTAAAGAACAAACATATATGAGACAAACTCAGTCAATTGGTATGATTTCTGGCGAGAATGTCTACCTCTTTTTTGTTCCATAGGAGCTCAAACTTTGAACCTGTACCAACATCCACACGTTTTCCCCAAGAACAAGACCCAACGACTGTTGATAGAGAATCTGTATGACATTTCTCAGCCGCTTTCTCAAAACATTTCCTTGGTGTCTAAAAACACAAGAAGTAACTCCCGTTAATATGGACTACTAGTATATAGTCATAGAAACTAATTTATATCTAACATTAAAGCATCGGACTACTTACAATCAGAGTTGCTTCTGTGAATGGAGCCTTGATGTTCAAGGATCGGGTCAAAGCCTTGTAACCTCCAGAATTGAAACCCAACATATTCCCTGAACAGGTCATGTTGTTTGCTACGAGAATGATATGTTCTTTCAAGACTCCTTTCGAGACCATTCTCACAGAAGCTGAGAGACGCTGCAAATCAAATCAACAACTTACAGTTAACTTCCTTACACAAACAATGAGCAAACATGATAGCATACATGAAATAAGAATGAACTATCATGATTTAAGTGTAAGATCAAGTGCACGGATCAGGTTCTGAAATCATTAAGTACCTGAACTGCTTGCTCAAAAGCACAGGATAAACCAAGCAACTCTTGCACTTGCTTTATAGAGTATGGGATTGACCGTGTTGTGTCTATTAGATGAAGCACTGAAAGACAAGAGTCCATAACAACTCTCCATGCATCACCACTTTGCTTGACAGCAGATTTTTCAACGGTGACATCCAAAACCCATTCCCCCCGGCGGGACGCATGTCGATTCCAGATCCAGGTTGTCGTTTCTGGACTATTCCAGGTTATATTTGCTGAGAAAATCCGTGGATCACCTGCCCAGTTTAGAGACAGAAGTATTATCACAAACAGTTTTCTAGAAATCGATTAGTGCAAAATTTTAACCACAACTTAAACGACGAATCATTTAGACTAGTTGAGAAAATGCTTTTAGTTCTTAAACCTTCTGGCAATACATCTAACTAGAAAGATTTGAAATGAAGACTCTATGATATACACTACAACCCCATCGAAAGAAAAATCAAAATGGTAGGGGTAGACCGTAGACGAATTGATAATAATGAAAGCTATTCAAGTACCTTTGATCACTGTTTCCAGCAGGACTGGGTAAATAGTGTGGCAAAGAACATCAAGAGTTCTTTCTAGATCAGGATCGGTGGCATTGTAGGAGGAAAACATCAAGCACGGCATATCAGAATCTTTGCTCGCACATGGATCACGGAAAGAGCAGCACTCACTGTTCATTCGAGAAGAAATTAGTTATAATCAGACTATAGTATTCAAAAAGCTAGACAAGTAGACATAATAAGACGAAGACCAAAAAGAACTAGAAAGCTAGAAATCAACATCAGAGCTGCTTTCTGGAGAATTTCTGCGGTTCATTCAACCAGACACGACATCCAGTGGAAAAGCGAATCATGTACAAACCTGAAAGACAAATTCGTTCTTTTGAAGTCGTCAGCTTTCTTCTTTTTCTTTTGTACTAGTGAGTTAATTGCATCCTCACACTTTTGAAGTATATCCTGCATACTGATGTTCCACTCTTGCAACAATGTCTAGTAAGCCAAAAAACAACAATAACAAGCAAAAATTAAAAGGATTATTAGGCGTAAAGTATTTCTATGACAGGTAGAGGCTTCCAGATAGTATCAACAGTACAGAAACCAGAATATAAACCTTATTAAGATGAATATGGCCACGTAGGGATGAATCATTGCCAAATATTTCTGAAATGGCTTGTTGCTTTCTGTATCTGCATGCGAGTAGAGACAAAGCAGATTGCAGGATAAGTAAAAAGCGAAACAGCACACACACTAAAAAGTTCAACATAAGTTAAAAACCTATACTTACTCCACTAGGAATTCCACTGCAGTTTCTTTAAGACTAACTTTCTTCAGCTTGTTCCTAACTGTGTAAGCAGCATTTTCCTGGCAATACTTTTTACCACAGCGGCATTCATTCAAATACAGAATTACACGCCGATCATTGGCAGAGTTTTGGAAGTTGACTTTGCAGAGTAGAACTTCCTGGGAAAAAGACAAAGACAGAAAAACGTTTAGGATACAACAATACAGAAGATCAAAGCTTTATTGAGGCAGCATCGAGAATAACGTACCTTCATTAGCTCCCATGATGAGTTGCTACTTGGAGTGGAATCAAGCACTGCTTTATAAGCAGGATTTGACATGGCAGTAGCTGCCAATACGCCAACAGGTTCTCCAGCTTCAAACAACCCTTGATGCCCACGGTCTGAATTCCCTTCATAGCTGAATTGCACTATCGAGTTGCTGCAAGTGTTTCTCACGGTGCCATCGTTAGTAATCACAATGTCCCGCAGAACAGCCATCAGGTTCTTGAAGAGTGTTCCAGGCTCAGCTAGCCCTCTGGAAGATCGAACAATGACCTCCCTTGCAGCTATTGAGTGAGCCATCTCTTCATAGGCATCCAGTCCGTGAAAGAAGCAGCCCTTCACAATGCCAAAATCTCCAGAGGAAGAGATTCTGCCATATTTTCTCTTACAGAACTGAGCCATGTCTTCCACCAGAGTCTTCGTGTAGAACTTCTTTTTGTCTGAAAGTTGAAGACCCAGGAAGCCTATCTGCTGCACCAGCTTGTTTATAGCTGAGTTGCTCTTGATGTCAATCAAGTTCCGCATGGAATATGACTTGAGCATAAAGTTAGCAGCCACTTCCTTCACTTTGTGGATGCTGTTCTCTAGTTGCAATTCATCTTCATATGATAATCTCAAGCGAGACACCATAGGAGAAATCTCTCGGGTGATAAGATTGTGAATAACATTCATGTCTTCCCTAGACATGGATAAGTCTTCCAAACTTACACTAAATCCCTGAGCAGATAGAAATTCCATCAATAGAGGCTGCAGTGAATCAAAGAATCCCAGAGCCTCCTTTGGACCCTTCTCCAGCATGATTGCAGTTACGATTCCATTGATGATAGACGGCATCGCATCAACCCCAAAATCAAAGCACAGCAAATCACTTTCACTAACTATGAACCTGTCCCCTTTACTACTCAGACGCTCAGGAAAGGCAAGCTGTAGAATTTGGAAAACTGTCCAAGCCGGGCCAGATTCATAGGACTTTCTTACTGCTGGTGGTGACAAAGACAGAGAGCCATACATAGCTAACTGTTGAGCAGTTGCCTTGTCCAAATACATCTCCTCCAGCATGACCCTTAGAGAAAGGAGGGAATCGCAGCCTAGCTGCAAAATCAGCTGCCCAGTATGTGAACTACGCAGTTGCTTATCCACAGAGAAGAGTTCCATAACCTCGGCCTTAGCGGTAAGTGACTGTGGGTAGAACAAATGGACACAATCACCATCAAAATCAGCACTGAGGGGGCCACACATCAGAGGATTAATCTTCACCGTGTTGTCTTCATGAACATACACCCGAAGTGCTTGCAGAGAATGCTTATGTGTTGTCGGGGGTCGGTTGATAAACACAACATCCCCATCCATGACCCTGCGATGAACAATCTGCCCGGGCTTAAGCACAGTGTGCCCCTTGGAACCATCCCTCAGAGAATAGGTTGTAGAACCTTGAGTGTAACTCAAGCACATCTTGTTGTCCACTAAATCTTGAAGATGACCTACATTGTGGACACTAACCCTCTCCTCAAAAGTGATTCTCTGAGCAATCTCCACTGGGATCCCTACCTCGTTCACATTCCTGTATGCATCCCCAGTGATGACGCTGCGAGAAGAGAAGCCTGAACCCTTTCGAATGAAGAGTGTTCTCATCTTTTCTGTCCAAGCTTTCGAGGAGGAACTGTCCGAGATCTTCGACACCCCGTATCTCACATCAATATTCCTTGTCGGTTTCGCAGTACCCCTCACCCGCAGATAGGTATCCACCACTCTAAACATGTCATTGGCTTCAATCTTATGCGACTCAAAGTTTGTCTCGCCAGATCTGGAGTTCTTTATAGCTACCACTTTCTTAAGAACATCTTTGAGCTCAATTCTGGAAGGATCCTGAAAACAAGAATGACATAGATGCATGGGTCACTTTCTAAACAAAAGCCAAAGCATTCAATAAACTCAAGACAGGATTTTAGTTTCAACTGGCTTACCACTGACATGGAGCTGAAACCATCAGAAACATCTGGCACTGACAAACAGTTAGGCGGGACTGGAAGATATTCTAGTATGTATCCTTCTTGAGGAATATGTCCCTTTGCTGTGAGTTTCTTTCTTGTTTCTTCGGGCATCCGTCTTATAATTTCCTTCACCTGTTTTTTTCCCAGCATATGGAAAAGGACATGGAAATAACGTAATCATCAGTTTCCAGTTACAAAACATCACCAAAAATACAGAATGTTTTCAAATAAACAAAAAGAACGTAAGACCACCTTCGACATTAAAATCCTACAAGATCCAGTAAACTCTAGTCTAAAATCACATAACATGAGCCAGTGACACCTTGCAGAGACTTACAAAGGTATATTTATTGTTTCTTTTGTTCAAACATTCACAGATGAATTCAAAAGTATAATTACTTAGCTTAGATTGCTTCTAACCAACTATGTTAACTAATTTGAATAGGAAACGTAAAGTATATCAAAAGCTTGAATTTATTAAAAAAAAACGTTACAGATGATTCTGCACATGTTAAATAATTACAAAGCTAAGTATTTTTAAGGTAACACAACATTCTATGATAGAAACAGAATTTTGAGCATGCAGAAGAAAGTAAAAACCTCTCTTGCCAGCAAGGGCCGTGTGTAGTCGCTTCCATAGCGGTAACCATATCTTTCCAGGAAATTCCAACAGCCTTCCTGGAGTCTTGATCTAGATGGGAACTTCAGTTCTAGGTATGAAGCTCCATCTGATGCTTTTTCTCTGATTGAGATGTTCGAAGCTTCCTGAAATAGTAATTCAGTAGTTAAAAATCCCAGAAGTTCAGCAATAATATCATCCAAAATCACATATAAGCAGTGAATGTTCCAGGATCCCATAAGAAACATCTATCAAACTGCTCTTTAGGTGGAAAGGAAACAATGTGAATTTCATTACTCACCTCACAACAGACACCTAATAAACGCTCCGCAAGCCCACCACTTGTGCTCTGTAATCAGAACGGTGAAAAAAATTGGTCGAGGTTTTTTATGGTTTATGATAGATCTTATCAAATTATATGTGTAAGATGGAATTTAAGAAACCTCAATGGGGTAATACCTTGGCCTTCTTTATATTCAGGCACTTCAAGCACAGAAGGCTCAGCATTTGTTTCAGCTCACTAACATGCGCAGGATGGTATATTGGCACTGGCAGCTCAATGTACCCAAAATGACCTGAAAATGTAGAAACAAACATGGATATCTGAAATTCCGGCAAACAATGAAAGAACAAATATAGAGTAAAAACGGAACTGGTTTACCTTCACACTTATCGGGCTCTGTCGCACCGCAAGATTCACATCTACCAAATTCCAGAGGTAGCCCCAAGAATGAGTTAGACAGCTGGCTGGAATGATTGATAGCGGAGTCACTAATTGATGCTGTACACTGCAAGAAAGAATCATAGCCCAGTGAGAGATAGAAGAGTGACAGAAAATATATCGCAGAACTGAACATAGCACTCTAGCTTTAGCACTATAGAGAGCTGAGTTCACTTATACTGAACTTCACAAACTTGGTGTCAAACTTAACCAAAGCATATAAAGTAGAGTGTTTTGGCTATTCGCAATCCTTACTTCTTCTGTAGAACTCATTATGAACATTCTAGCTTAGAACTAAATAACGCCGTACATGCAACTTTTGATCACTCATCGAACCACATTCATGGATTTAGTGGAGGGTGTAAAGATGCCAAACAAAATGTAATTAGTCCAGGGAGGATAACTCTAGTAACTTACGATTTCATGGGGAGTAGCAAGAGCAAATCTGATTCCAACAATCTCTCCTTCTAGAATATCTGATGAAGCTGCGTCTTCCATGACGAAACCCTAAAATCTGAATCCAGACAACAGCGAGACCGAGTAAGCACTTAGCAGAAACAACAAACAGAGAAACGGAGACACTGTCGAGTCCACTAACTTGAGAAAAAACCCAGAAACTTCCAAAGAGAAACCCAGTTTTTGAACAAAACCCACGAGTCAGAAGAAACACTTCGAAAAAACTGTGAAAGGAACAATTTTTCTGCGTGTTTCCACGAAATCGAAAGCAGTAAACGCACGATAAAGCGAAAGGTCCTAAATTTCGAACGGAGAGAAATCTACATTTGAAACAACCATAAACCCAGTACAGAGAAAAACCCCAGAAACAAACGGCGGAGTAAGTCATGATCTCGACATCTTTTTCTCGGACAACATCGAAAGATAGAGTTGGGTAAGACGAAAATACCTAAGAATCGGCGAATGATTTCTCAATCCAGCAGCGTGTTTGACCCGTCCGATTCCAGAAAGGGAGACGAAACGAAACAACGGGACACAAGGGTTTTGCAGGTGGAAAAGAGGGAGAATCTGAGTGAGAGGAGAGTGAGAGTGAGCGAAAATGGCGGACTTTTCTTTAAAAGAGAGAGAGACCCAGGAGTTTGTGTAGCGTCAATGTTTTTCTCACAAAATCCTTTTCTTCTTCAGTTTCAACCTCTAAATAATACACATTGCATGCAAAGGGGGAAAATATCATATGTATTAAGCAAATGAACCAATGTGATTTTCTCTCTGTTTTCTTTTTTTTTCTTCATTGAATTTTTTTCTTCTATAATACAAAGATGGAATACAAAGTTGGGATACAATTTTTATACATAAAGCCGGCGAAAAACAGAATTTCCTCGGAAACTTTTCCCGATACACAGAAAACATATGACGGGATACTAAAAATAAAAGTAAAATTCTCAAAACACGGAGAAATTGGAAGAGCATAATAGCCGTGAAACTATATAACTCAAAAGGTAACTGATGAGTGATTTACAACCGCAAACAGAAGATAACAAAGAATTGAGAAAACTGCGAAGAAATAGCTGCGAAAAAATAGCTCAAAAGGTCACTGACGAGAAATTTACAACCGCAAACAGAAATTAACAAAGAATAGAGAAAACTGCGAAGAAATAGCTCAACTAAAACGATTAATCCGAACATAAAAAGCAAAAGACGAGAATCTAACTCCTACACACCTTATCTTCTAATTTAAAATAATTTTATCTCTGTTTGCCATTTGTCACAGTTATATTTGATAACAATGGTTATAAAAAAGGGAATTTACATATTAAAAAAAAATAACAGCCATTAACAGGATAAAAATAAAAATTAACGGATCCCAAATCCCTAAAAAATCATTATACAAAACAAATGATAATACGATTAAACTTATTCATGATTTGATTTCGGTATGGTATATTGATTAGATTTGTACTTTTAGATTTTTATTTTAGACTTATTTTATAATTTGAGTTAAGATTTTTATTTTAAACTTTTTCATGTACATGATTTCATGGTTTTTGTTATAATTAAAACAAAACCGTCTGATTTATCATTGTTAACTAGAGAATAGAGAGATTGTAACCATTTATTAATACAGCAGAAATAATGAAAGCTTCAAAAACGGACAATAAATTTCTTAAATGATTGTGCATGTGTGGCTGGGTTGATGAACTCACAGAAAGAGAAAGGAAAATTTTGATTTGATTTGATTTCGGTATAGTATATTGGATTGGTAGTCATATCTAAGTTATAGCAAAAAATTTAATCCACACAAAGTGAAAGGAAAACTTCAGAAACGGACAATAAATGGTTGTGCATGTGTGGTTGGGTTGATGAACACACGCAAAGAGAAAGGAAATTTTTGATCGTGAAACCAAAGCCTAACGAAGAGTGGCTACTCTGTATACATGAGGCTCGTAAAACTTTTCTTAATGGGCTATGTGAGAGCTGTTCCAATGATGTTGGTCTCGGTTCTATGTTTGATTTGTATCTTTTTTTTATGTTTTCTGTCTAGCAATTTCATGTTTTGTTAAAAATATCGGTGTAACTGTACTTGTTGGTGGGTCTAATCCTTCTGCTTCATCTTAGCTTAGTTTCATTCATCAAAAAAAAAAAAAACAAATCAAATATTCAAGATTCACCAACCAGTTGATCAATTTTCCTATTAGTTGTGAATTGTTAGGGACATGTGACAACATGCCATATTCCTATGCCTGTATGAGTTGCAACAGCAATACGTGACTATTTACTCGTACAAAGAAATTCGGACAGATATGGAGTGGTCAAAACCGGATTAGTATCGATTTAAAATTTTCATAAAAGTAAAGCCACATTATAAATATCTTATGACAGTGTATCAAATACTTGTCTTATGACAATGTATCAAATACTATCATTTTAAGTAGATTATTCAAGGCTGGGTTGAATTTAGATTTCTTTCTTCTTTTATTGGAATTTAGATTTCTTTCTTCTTTTATTTTTGGTCAAGGTTTGAAGTTAAATTCTTAAAAGAAACAAATTCAGAAAATTTGTATATGTAAAACAGAACCAAAAATGAAAAATAAAACGGAGTTAATTATTTGAATCGAACAAAAACCAAAAAAAATTCAAAGCAATCAAAAATTTGTCAAAGCAATCAAAAATAAGAATTGTAAAATAAGTTTGGCTACAACCATAATTAAACCAAACCAAGTCTGAGATTTTCTTTGAAGGGACGAGCCTCTTCTCATGCTCATATGTCTTTCAATACCAGAGAAGTTAAGACTTAAAGATTAATTGGGACTTTTTGTCTGCTCCACTTATTGTGAAGTTGTAATTAAGTGAGAGCGTTACACAGCGAATATGGTTAAACTTTTCGTGTAATGTTATACAAACTCTCTCTCTTGCACTTTAAAAAAACAAAAAAACGTGCTCGGCCACATTGTTTAAGATGAATTGAAAACAGATAACAGTAAATATATCTAGATACTCTAAATAAACGATAGTTGTTTTGTTTAGTTACCCAATCATCTCGTTAACTGCAATAATTTTGGCATTTACATGTGAAAATCAAGTTCATAAAGGAAAATTCAATTTCACATTGGCTATTTGGTTAACTTCGTATAGAATTGGTTTTTGGAATTTAGATAAGCGAAACCGTGTATTTAGGCAGGCTTTTGTAGGTATCAATTATTATATAGACATATAGTAATGATGATGCACCTGTCTGATATACAAAATATACTTCAGCACAAACTACATCAAAAACTAATTTAAAGTTTTAGCCCACACAGAGATGTGAAGATGGGTCCTTTAACCCTTTTTACTGCTAATACTACTTAACTCTTTCACTCTACTTCTTACTTTCTTAACTTTAACTACGGTTTTTACTAACAGGAGCTCATGACTCCTTAGTTGTCCCACCTCGTAAGTTTCTTCCTCTTCTTCTCTCCACGAACTTCCCTGAGCAGCTCTTCTAGTTCTTCACATAGAGGTTCTGGAGTTAGCTGAATTATCTCATCATCATCACCAGCACTAGCCGCCTTTGGATCTGTCTCCTCCTCCTCCTCACTTAGCCATCCACACTGAGAATTCCTGGAACCTATAGAATGATTTTACCTCAGTAAGAGAAGTATTCATGTAGTGAGATTTTTGTGGCGACGAGTTTGTTAGTTTGTTACCTCGAACAGAATGGTGTGCATAACCTGCTGATGCATCTCCTAATTGAAAAGTTGCAGGTGATGAGTCCAAGATGACCGTCTCGCTAGTGATCGACAAACAATCAGTCTGGCAAGTCTGTGTTCCTGTCTCCGCACCACACCCGACCAAAGATGTTGAGTTGCTACCAACATGGTCTCTTCCATCCTCAATCTGCTGCTCCTGCTCCTGTAATACAAAAGACAAATCGTGCTGCAAGTTAAAGTAGCATTATGGATAAATCAAGTTCAAAAAAACACAGTCAGTGATTTATGATACTTGATCACCAAAACAAAATCTTTGACTAAGGGTTTAGGGAAACAGTTGTATAGTTGCTATGGTTAAAACATGAGGAACAAGTAGAGAGAGAGATAGAGTAGGGAGAAAATGAAATCACCTTTTCTTCTTCCTGAGCCGTTTGTTCATGTTCTTCTTCCGCTATCTCTTCGTTTTGTTCCTTAGCCATTTCTTCTTTCTGTTCTTCATCCAATTTTGTTGCTTGTTCAAGGCATGTATCTAGAAGCACTTGGTAACAATCCCCTTCGATCAGGAACCATCCTTCCTCACCATACACCTGAAAATCCAAAGTGGGTAAAGCATGAAAGTGTTTTCAGAGTAAGTGAAATCAGAGGCTTAAATCCTAGAACATACCTCTAGCAATCCCTTGATAGACACAGTGATGATACGCTCCTCGAATCCAAGAGCTCTCATGGCATCTCTTGCTGCGTCCTCTCGCATCAGTCCAGCCTTCTGCAAAAAGGGGTAGCAAAAATAGCAATTTAAAAGGCTGGATAATAGATAGAAACCATACAAGAAAAGAAAATAACACACAAGACACTGATCTCTTCTTCTATTTCTCACTGAGAATCAACCGGTAAACGAGAAAGTCAAGAACAAAAGAAGCAAACAAAAACGTAGGAAGGAGTTCTAGAGCATCTCCTACTCTACCAAAAGCCCCAAACATCAGTTCAACCTCTACGTAACAGAACCATTCTGCTTCTATTAGTCACTGAGAGACAACTGATAAACGAGAAATTCAAGAGAAAGAGAAACAAACAAAAATCGAAGGAGGAGTTTTGGACCATCTCATCCTCTCCCAAACCCCAAACATCTGTTCAAACTCAAAGTAAGAATAAAGCTCACCCTTTTTCTTCCTCTAGGCGCCATTTCTTTAATCCCTCGCGATTCTCTGTGATTTCTGAAGAAAATGAAGGAGAAAAAATGTTAGTTTCAGTCTCTGGGATTGACAATCAAACAAACGTAAGGCAGACCAAGAGAAACGGAGACATTGTCGAGTCCACTAACTTGAGAAAAATCCCAGAAATGTTCAAAGAGAAACCCAATTTCTTTAAAAAAAAAAAATACAAGAGTCGGAAGAAAAACTTCCAAATGACGAATTTTTTTCTGCTCGTTTCCAGAAAAAGTCGAAAGCAGTAAACACCGCGATAAAGCGAAAATGACCTAAATTTTTGGTTCTTTAGGGTCTGATAGGGAGAGAGAACTCACGCCTGGAGAAGATTAGCGGCGACGGAGGAAGTTTGGGAGCTGGAAAAGTTTTTTTTTTTTTTTTTTTTGGTCGTGAGCTGGAAAAGTTAAAACGGGAAAGAGAGCCGTCAATCGCCTCGTCTCCCAAAAAATCCTTTCCACGACAAGACTGAGTGAAGAGTGAAAGAAACAAGTTATCAAAAAATACATAAGTTATTCAATATAAATTATTAATTGTTAGTCAACTAATTTTCTGTATTAGTTTACGGTTAGGTGTGAATGTCAATAATTGAATAAACTCTTCTGTTTATTTAATTAACCATCTTCCTCTTAAGTAAGTAAATTTGTTACATTGCCATAAATCCTTCTTTTAACTTTTTTTTATCTATTTCGATTATAAAACAAAAAGAAGATTGTCAATTAGTTGAATATATATAAACTTATTGATTATTACTTGCAAGTGTCAAAAATGAAAATAATTTTTTCTTTCAACTCTTGAGATTATAGGGTCTCTTATTATAAATATACGGGTTTGGAAAGAAAAGAAAAATATTATGATGTATACAAATGTGTGTGAGTAGGTCTATATACTAGGAGTCTAAGACCATAAGGAAATTCCATAACAATGTTTCAAGCGCATATGAGACGCGTGTCAGGCACGCCTCCAAATCTAGACGAGGCAAAATCGAGTGCACATTTGAAGATTTGTTAATTTAGTCATGAAGTTGGATTAGTTAGTTAAATACCCTAAGTTTCAATCTTAGCCGTCAATTGATCTCCTTACAAGGATCTTCCAATTTCCAACGGTTTTAAATGCGCCACGCGTGGTCTAGCAGTGTACTAGTACTAGTTTCAGGCTAAACTAAAAGCAAAACTTCATTTTACTGGAATATTGCTCGAATTTCTAAGTTAAGGGGCACAGTTAGCGGAACTCTATTCATTTTTATGGACTATAATGGCAATTTCAAAAATATTAGTGACAAAATTAAAGAAATACAAAACTACCGGGAAATCAAAGCAAAAAAAAAAGATTCTGCTATAACCGTTTGCTGATACAACCCCTGTTTATATGTTTCTTTGATCATTTGTTTCTTTCACTCTTCTGTCTTCACCTTCGTGGAAAGGATTTCTGGGAGATGAGGCGATTGACGGTTCTCTTTCCCGTTTTAGCTTGACCGGCTCTGAAACTTCCTCCGTCGCCGATAAGATTCTTCTCCCGCCGGTAAGCTCTCTCTCTGTCTCTGTTTCTGTCTCTCTCTCTTAACCAAACAACGCCGCTCATTGTCTTTTCTATCGCATCGAATAGGGATTCCCTCCTTCATCCGTCGATTACGGTCCTTCATCCGTCCATTACAGTCATTCATCCGTCGATTACGGTGAGTGTGTGTGTGTGTCTCTCTAGCTTTCATAGTGTGGTTCCTTGTGAAGTTGACAACTACATTGCTAATTAAATCATATATCTGTAGTTGGAACCATCAATATTGTCTCTTAATTTGATGTTTCTTCTCTTTTGACTTCTATCGAGCAGCGAATTAGGGGTTTTCTTTGGACGCAATGATTGTATATTAGCCTCCGTCAGTTTGTCTCGAAATATACAATGACGTAAATTCTTGCCTTCGTTATTGTTTGTGTTTTTCCCTATATGTCTTTATTGAGATTGCTGATCAACTAGCTTTGGATCCTATATGTCTTTGTAGAATGGATTCAGCAGCTCTTGATGAGGTTTCTAACTCTGATGACATACTCCACATACCAGATCTAGAAGAAGATAACGCACATTATGAGCATGTAAGTTTAGAAGTTCAATGGTAGAAGTATCTCTGATTGAAAATATTTTCGGCCGTCAGAGCTACTTCCACCAATTGATGACTTTGGGTTTTCTTAAAACATTGATTATGTGCCTGCAGGGCCTTGCAGGGTCTTGCAGGGCCTCGCAGATGATCTTTTTATAAGTCCGGAAGATGCGCATGGTCTAACCGAATCTTCATGCCGTCCTTCAAATAAAGTTGATAAAATAAGGTTTCTCCTAAAAAATCTGAGAAGCGTGCCAAGGAAGCATTGGGGCTCATGGATGGGCTATTTGAGGACGGCTTGGACGGCTTGGATGGCTTGGACGGCTACGACATCTTCAATGCGGATTCAGATATCAAAAAAGCGATGAAATCTCTTCAGAGAGCCAGCACTTCTGTGATAAAAACCCTTTTGCGTTGGAACACTGTGCCTGAGAATATGCTAAATCTAATGCATGGGATAATAATGATTAAAACAATTATGTTATACAGTATATAATTTTGATAAAATGCTCAATTATAAAACTTAGATGATGTATTGATGTTAATATATGGTGTATGTTTGCAAAATATGAGTATACCGAAAAAGGTCGAGAAAATAACAAGTTTTCAAACTAACAAAAGCAATTATAAAAATGAAGATCTGAGGGAAAAATATATATATATATATATATATATATATATGTCCAACAATTTGTGTTTATTGGTAATTAAAAAAAAAAAACATTAGCGGACCAAATGTTAGCGAGGAGGACACTGATAACATTTAGCAAAGAGGCCAAAAGTATCAACTTGTTTAATGAAATTAGTCATACTCGCCCATCCTCCTAAACCGAAACCAACCACAAACACCCAAACCACCACCACCACGTTCACCACAAACGCACCTCTCCAACCGCCGATCAAGGCCGGTGGTTTCTCGGCGGCGTTTTGTCGGGAAGAAGCAGAACGGTAAGTGAGGATGTGAGCGATGGATGGGATGATGTAGACGGTGAATGTGACTAGGAGTGCACCAACGGCTGAGTTTATTGGACCGAAGAAAGGGAAGATTATGGCTAATAACCATATTGGAATCACCACCGGTAATCTCGTCACCGCTCGCACCAAAATGCTATTTGTGTCATGCATTCCCACCACTTTCTCCCACACGAAATATAGCGGCGTGCACGCGTACCCGAACGTTATAAACTGCACTAGATCATATTTTATTGCATACATGAAAATGACCATAAAAACCGAACCAACCCAAAATTGATAGAACCGGAAACCAAACCAAACGTCCAAAAACCTACCTGGTGGATGAGCATGAGGATAACTGCGGCGTCGCGCCACGGTGAGTTTGGAAGGAGGGAGAAGGCATTAGAATGAGTGAGAAGCTCATCTCCAAAGGCCCAATATACGGAAATAGCCGATGGGATGGTTAAGGTGAAGACATATAGTGTAGCCATTAGATATATGTACTTAAACTTTCTTGGTTTCCACATTGCATGCATTATCTCCCTACAAATTCAAATAGTCAAAAACATTAAAATGCGTGAAAATACAAACTCACTAACAAAGACTCGAGGTCTAGGAATACTTACACGGTCACAGCATGGCCACCAAAAGTGTACAATATATTAGTCGCTCCGGTGAAGTACAGAACCATTTTGGTTGGACCGGAATGAGTCACTCCTTCGACCTGACCGTGGACAAGAGCCGCGATGGTAAGGTACCAAGCGGTGTAAGTGGTCATGCCAAGGCCGAGAAATGACCATATTCTATAGTTGTGAAATGACGGTATAAACACTGTGGTTGCACAACATGCTCCGAATATGTATGTCCATGTCCTCTTGTCCAGCTTGTCGTTTATGTAATATATGTTACTGCCCATTATTGTTGTTATAAGATTGGGAAATATAAAACAATATCAAGATACCGAATAAAATTGAGATCCTATAATAACCAACCTTGCACAAGCGATGAGTTGGATAACAGAACCAAAGAGGAGAAATGTGCAGTTGAATGTTAATCCTATTGCTTTCCAATATGGACCAAGCAAACCATCTAACACTTCGAACCACTGCGATATCAATGGTTTTAACGATAGATCTGTAGTCGTCAAATGAAAGATCTAAAAGTGGAGATAGTTGTGAGTGTGACCTGAATGACATGGTTGTTGAAGTTAACATTTTGTCTCTCTTTTCGACTTCTGTACTCAACGTAGAGAACACTGATGAGATAAGCTGTCCAGCTTCCCATAAAACCATAGAAGATCTGAAGAATTACACCTGATGCCATTCCCATTTGTGAAAATGAATAAGGTAGCGTCAATAGAACTTGAGCAACCTGCCAACATAATTAGAATTATCTTAATCCATAACAAGACCTCATGTTATTGGTTAATAAGGTGAAATTAATTGAATTATAACCTGGTTTGATGCACAGCTAAACCAAGCATCATAGACAGAACCACCATGCCATAGAAAGCTCTTCATGTTTAACTCAAATCCTCTCTCTTCAGTCTCATTCTCCATTATTCCCTCTTCTGTTTCCTTGATTGACATCTTCCAATCTGCTTCATAATTTAAAGTAGACAGGAAAAAACTTTTGAAGAACTATAGTCTTGACTCTCGAGTCCTATTTTAAATATCGAATAAAATTATCAGACTTTGAGGCTAGTGAGGTGCCGTTTTTACTCTGTTTCAACATGTTTTTGGACTGTTTTGCAGTCTACAACAAATGAAAGAATGATTTCGCTGTTTTCTGGGAATGTTTGTTAGTCTGTTACATTCCTTTGGCTTACATAATATATAATATTTAAATCAAACTCTTTTAATTGAAAAATCACGTTATAGGTCTATTACTCGAAATTATCGATAGTATTTGTATGGAGATGAGATCATGAGATTGATAGTAGCAATGGAAGAGAGTGAAGAACAATTACCTAATTATTTTTTCCACCTGCAAAAGTTATACAAATCAAGGAATAAAGAAGTAAACTACATTTTTAAAATAAAACCTTTTATGAAACTTACAAAAAGGACTTGTAGAGAAACGATGAGGAAATTAATGGGTCAAAAATTATTGGAACCTTAAGACAAAGAAATAAGAGAGGGAATCTGTCTTCTTCTGTGTTCTTGTCTCTGTAACTCTTCTTTGTATTTTCTTTTTGTTAACTTCTTCCCAGTCTTTATTTGACTGAAACTAATAAGAGCATTTCAGTGAAGGAATCAAATATAACTCAAGATTTATGGGCTTCTCTCTCTGGCCATGCTGATTATCCTCTTTCTCAAGGGGGTCCCTGAGTCATTTCAAAATTTTCGGAAAAAAGAAAGCAAACGATGATAATTTTCGTACATCATAAATTATAGATTTCATTATACTTTCGTAATCCAAAAGTTGAATACACCATAACAATTGCAATCATGGCTTATAAGTTAAACGAGTGTCCTATATATATACATATCATCATGCTCTTCTTTTTAAAAAGCGAGCCTTCTCCTATTTGGACCCTCCAAATATTGATCTCTACAAATTCTTCACTAGTGTTTATAATCTGACATACTTTATCCCAAAAAGGTGTATAAAGATGAACATATGCAAGAAAAAGTAAAGGCTTTTCTTAAATCATATCATTGATTCTCATATCCTTTCGCATGGGAATATTACCATTTATTAGATATGGCCAAATGGTATGACTTGCCTACCTAACTCTGGTATACCACACAAATAGCACTAAAAATTATACATACATGATAAAACTCGAATAACTTTGTGAATGATTAAGGCAATAAAAAATCGATTTAAGGTAAACTAACCTCAATTAAGAGATAAAAACACTCTTAAACAAGAGTGGGAAGCCCAACATGTTTTGAACGACTGACTTTTATTTTATGGTATATTGGGCTTAAAGCTCATTCAGGCCCAAGTCTCAAGCCCAAATTAGAGATGATCGGATTGCCACAGATCCAACAAATATAAACCGTTAGATCTAGGTCATCCCCAGAAACCCTAAACCGTTATTCCTTTCTTACCCCGGTAACTATATAATCCATGAGTCTTCTTCCTCAACTCTTTTTTGTAATCCTTCGCAGCTTTTCTTTTTTAGGTTTTTTTTCTCTCCTTACTCAAAAACACAGTTGCAGAGGTTAAAGTGACGGCGCCAATTCGCTGTCCGCCTTGTACGAGCTCGAGCTTCGTCTAGGCCCTCGATTTTCTTACCCTTTTTTTTCTTAGATTTCTTTTTCTTAGTCGAACTTTTCGAGTAGCAATGGCGGTGAAAGCAACAAAGGCGGAGAAGAAGATCGTTTACGACTCCAAGCTTTGCCAGCTTCTGAACGAATACCCTCAGATTCTAATCGTTGCAGCTGATAATGTCGGATCCACTCAGCTTCAGAACATAAGGAAAGGTCTACGCGGCGATTCCGTTGTTCTCATGGGGAAGAACACAATGATGAAGAGATCTGTGAGACTCCATGCCGAGAAAACTGGAAATGATTGTTTCCTCAGCCTCCTTCCTCTTCTTCAGGTTCATTTCTCTTCTTTCTGTTGATCTTCGTTTTGCTTCATTGAAACCTGTGATTTTGTTCTGTTGGAGAATTTGATTAATTTTGTGTTTTCATTGTTTGTGAAAGGGGAATGTTGGGCTGATCTTCACAAAGGGTGACCTGAAAGAAGTCAGCGAGGAAGTTGCCAAGTACAAGGTTTGTTCGACTTGATTGATCTTATGTTATTATGATGTCTGGCTTAATCTTAGAATTGCATTTCACGATTGTGCAGTATGGATTGATAAGTTGGGTAGCTTATGCTTTATCTCTAACCTAATGCTCGAGATTACTAGCTTGGAAAGTGAGAGTTTGCATCTGGGTTTGAAATGGAATAGTGTAGATACTTGTGTTATTGGTTGAAACGTAGACACAATGATGAAGGTATTGAGAGTATTCTAGACACTTAGGTTCACTGAGTTTCCAGGAGACTACATATTGATGCTTCACTTTGTGTTTCGATTGTTTGATTTATAACTTTCCTTGTGCTGTTAATCGTTATTTTGGTTAGTTATGATTTCCATTAACCTATTTCTCAAGATGATCTAATTTGTAAAGTGAAAAAGTATGCATCTTGGTTTAAATTGGAATTCATATATTTTTAACCCCTTTATGTTCTGTTTTAAAACGCAGCTTGAGTATTCTAGTATCTTAGGTTCAGATTCTGTAACTTCCCTCTAGTGTTTTGATCGATTGTAGTGTTAACTGATTAGAACTTTCCATGTCCTGTATTTATTTTTATTACAGGTTGGAGCTCCAGCTCGTGTGGGCTTAGTGGCTCCGATTGATGTGGTTGTGCAGCCAGGCAACACCGGTCTTGACCCTTCACAGACCTCTTTCTTCCAGGTGCTCAACATTCCAACCAAAATCAACAAAGGCACGGTTGAGATCATAACACCTGTGGAGCTCATCAAGAAAGGCGATAAGGTCGGTTCATCAGAGGCTGCGCTTCTAGCCAAACTCGGAATCAGGCCGTTCTCTTACGGTCTCATCGTCGAGTCAGTCTACGACAATGGCTCCGTGTTTAGCCCTGAGGTGCTTAACCTCACTGAAGACGACCTCGTTGAAAAGTTTGCAGCTGGTGTCTCGCTCATCACCGCGCTTTCTCTTGCAATCTCTTACCCAACCTTGGCAGCTGCTCCTCACATGTTCCTCAATGCGTACAAGAATGTTCTTGCTATTGCCTTGGCTACTGAGTATTCTTTCCCTCAGGCTGACAATGTGAAGGAGTTTCTAAAGGTTAAAAGACCGTTTCTTTTGAGTTTTTAGATTCTGATGATTAGTCTTGAAAAACCTTTTTTTAAACTGTGGATTATTGTTTGATTCAGGATCCAAGCAAGTTTGCTGTTGCGGCGGCTGCACCGGTTTCAGGAGAATCTGCTGGAGCTTCTGTGGCTGCGGCTGTGGAGGAAGAAGTTGCGGAAGAGTCTGATGAGGACATGGGATTCGATCTGTTTGGCTAAACTACGCCGTCTTACAGTTATCTTTATGTTTTATCAATTATAGTTGAACCTTTTTTTAAAAAAAAACACTTTCAGAATTTCTGTTTTGCACGTTTATGGATATTTTTCCTTATATCTATGAAAACTCTCTTTCTGGTTTTAATTTTCTCTCCGTCTAGATATTCTTCCTGATCCCAATTATCTATTATATAAATACTCAGTTAAGCTTCACCAGCTTGACACATAGCTTCTATCTTTAAAACACATCATTTGCCACATCAATTTAAAATGATAAAAAAAAATTGATTATTTTTCCTTTTCTTTTTTTTCCTTCGTCATTTTTCTCACTCACGCGCCGTCAATCTCTGAAGAGTTTCAGCTTTGCCGTGAGTTTCCAAACACCGGGTAAGGACCACCACAGCGCCGTGTTCTACTTCACCATGATGAACCAATTCACTCCGGCTCGCTTCTTCACCGGTTTATCAACGGCAGCGACTCGTTCTGGAATCAGAGGTTCAAAATCGTCAATCGGATCATGAAAGGACTCTGGGTAGTGAAAGCCGCGGTTGGCAACTATAGTGTGCCTTCTATGCAAGGCCATGGCGTGCAATTACCATAGAGGTCCTAACTGCTACTTTGAGAATTGAGATCGATGTCGACATAAGCAGCTCGGCCATCGCAACAGCGATTCTGTGGCTGGCTTTAAGGTATGTCACGAGTGTGACGATTGACATGGGTTCTTAGCGGAGGCGCATACGGAGGATGAGCGGCCGGAGAGATTAATCGGAGCTGTTAGGGTTTATTGGTGCAGGTAAATCTCACAACTATCTCCTCTCTAAGCTGCAGGGCTTTTACTCTCAACCTTCTGTAACATCAACTTCTTAAACAACTTAAAAAAAAAAGGAAATCTGGAATGAAGTTGGTGAGAGCTATCTCAGCATTGTAAGTGCTCTCACGTCTAAATGCAATATGAGATGACTATGGACTGGTTTGATGTATCTGTCTCCATTGCAGCCAGATAAGACTTCAGGAACCATCAAAGAACAACTCTCTGCAACATGCGCTTGAACAACTTTGGCAACAGAAAGAGGAAAGGGTCTGAGAATTTTCTGATTTAAAGTTTTTTTCTTTTTGGGTGCAAATGCAGGTCTTTGTCGCTGTTTGTTTTTGATTTTACAATCTGATTAAAGTTTTATCTGCTTTTATTAGTCGATTATCTTCTTCTGCAATGAATGTCGAATAAAATCTTAGTTTTGCTTATGTTTCTCAGACTGAAATTTGTGGAGATCTGGGACATTGTTGGGTTTTTGATATGAGAATTCGAGGGTTTAAGAGACAACGACTGGAATGTCATTTGGACTTCGTTACCGAGAGTTATGACAGACGTGAATGTTGGACATATATTAGCCATGGGACCGACGTGAATGTTGGACATATATTAGCCATGGGACCGACGTGAATGTTGTTTTGTTAACTTATGATCAAAACACCTTCCCTATTTAATAACCACTGAAATAGTTGAACCTTTAGACGAAATTAATTGGTAATAGCTTTAGTGCAGTTATATGCTAATTAACATTTTCTTTAGTGCTAAAAGAGCGAGTAATTTTGTTATTGAAAATACTTTCTGTGAGTACAAAAACAATAACAGGTCCAACAATCGATTTTAATAACAGCAATTCAAACTAATTTTAATACATTTCAGCACTGAACTTTCATTTCAAGATTTTTTCTCATATTATAAAGTCCCGAGATAAATTAAATGTCTGTCATTGGTCCACAATTAATTAAAATAAAAACACTTTAAAAACGTTACAAATTCTTTTCATGCACGTTCATCTTTCTAACAATAATTCCTTCAAACTTACAATAATTACTCCTTTTAAATAAAATACATTGTATCTTAATCACAACGTAAACTTCAAAAAGAAAGACATTACAATATCCATTGTTGAACAAAAAAAAAAACAGAGAAACAGAAGAGAGTAAACAAAAAATGTCTGCAAGTTGAAGAAATTTCAAGTTATAGTAAAAGTAAGTTATTCATTACAAAACGAAGACTGTTATACTGTTTTTTCATATATTGTAAATACATGCAGATATCAATAGACAATTAGTTTTCACTATTTTCTTAAAATTATGGGTTTTGCTAATTGTTGTATGTTTTGTTTTTAAAAACACTTCAAATCAAAGTTCATTTCTCTGTCTTTATAATTTAAAATAACGTCTTACAATTTGAAGTTATATTATTATAAATATTCAGAAACTAACGGTGAACTAATAAGATAGATTCAAAACAACTGAAAGACTACCAACCAAGAAAGGTTCAAGAAAAAACGTCAAAAGCTTTCATTATGGATTCCCATAAACGGAAAAAACCAACAACTACTCCAGAAGAATCAAGATCAAATAGGTCCAAAAGAGCACAGTACAGATCCAAAAACAACAAAAAAAAAACACAGATACAGTCACAAATCCTTCTTTAAAAGGAAAAAAAACTTCTCATTGTCTACCAAAAAAAATCAATTTCTTTTAACAAAAAAAAACGTCCATTTCACATTGATCATACTCAGAGATTCGTCCACGCCTGTGCAACAGAATTAGCCGACAGCAATACTATACGCAAAGGTTAAACCATTCTTTACCCAATCAAACGTCAATTATTATATTAATTTACAAGATATTTGCAAAAGAGCAAGAGATCATAGACGTGCAATTCTTCAAACCAAGATATGGTACCAAGCGAACAAAAGTAAGTACCTTACTATATTGGCAACACATCTATATTTAGTAAAATTGTTCATAATGTAATATATCAACTCCAAATACAATTCTATAACAGGGATAAATAAAAAAACTCACGGCAAAGAGAATATCTAAAGCAGAGGCGGAGGCAGTAAGCATGCTATGGAGTCACGTGCTTCCTATTAATTTTATTTTTTAAAATAATTTAGTTAAATTAAATCTTAATAAATTTTAATTTAATAGTAAAAAATAAAATGTTGTTCCTAATTAATTTTTTTTTTATTTATCAAAATTTTGCCCCCAACCAAATTTTTTTCTAAATCCGCCACCGTTTAAAGATGCATAATCTATTCATGAATATTTAAGTAGTACCATCTTCTCATTTAAATTTCAAATATTTATCAATATGAAAAAGTATATGGAAAAAAGAAGAAAAATACTCTACTCAGATTAGACTTCTACAATTAATTATGAAAACCTTATTATAAAAAACTAGATACAATAACAAATATATCAATAAAAACAAAATAAACGTTATTTCTATTACACAAACCCGCGTGTATACGCGGGTCTCCTCCTAGTATTGGTTAACAGTTTCATTGTTGCACGTATTTACATGATGAAAATTCTGTGGTCCAAATATGGATAATTCTTATTAATAAGTATTCCAAATCGAGTTATTTGGGGCCCAAATTATAATTTATAAACTTATACAATCTACGAACAGGGCTGGTGCTGAATTACCAAAACCTTTCTAGCGTTTCTTTAGTACAATTTTTGGTGTATTGTTTAAACATCACTATGCCCTGAAATGTATCAACAGTATAGCATCAATCAATAAACACTCTCTTACAAGATTGCATGGTAAATTTATTAATTTTTATTAAAATTTTACGTGCTGTTTTTTAAAAAAAATAAAGGGATAAGCATGCCCTTTATATCTGATTGAAGCACAAGCATGCTTTTGTTGATTATTGATTTAGACCAAAAAAAAAATGATGAAAATGGATCAGAAACATCCAAGTCGTTCCCCTGAGAGGAAGAAACATAAGAGTGGGAATTGCGGAGTTAAAAGAGGAATATGATGTGCCACTTATAATAATCAGAATAAAACTAGAAAAAGAAAAGAAAAAAAAAACAAGCGGGATGTGGTGCTTGATTAACGTCAATAAAATTAGCTTTTGTGTATTTTAGAAGAATAAAAGAAATGAAGATGTGAAGAAGCCTTTTTGTGGATAAGGACTTGCTCTGCGATACCGTTTGTGGTGATATCATATTATTCCAAGTTGCATCCATTTTCTTTGTCAAGTAAAAGTCAAAAAAAGAGTCCGACATAGCAAGAAGAAAGCAGAATAATGTTTTCCATGTTCCACAACGGATATACATCAAAATTGGTACGATTTTTTCAATATAACTATTGCATCCTAAATCGTCGCAGTTCATTACGAGATTTTTCAGAATTCGTTTTAAAGTATGTTTGGAAAGATCATATAGACGGATGAAATATGGTTCCCGGCTATTCGAAAGCAAGTGTAATTAGCACGAACATATACATATATATACTGTAATTAGCTCCAAATAAATAGAACGAGTGGAACAACTACCGTAAAATTAGTTTCACTAGTTATTTTAAAATGATAAACTGCCAGATTTTCGGTTAGCCTTTTTTGTTACATTTAGAATTTCAAAATATAGTTTTTTAGTCATATGCATATATTTGTTTCTAAGTTTTAAAATTTTCCATAAACCAAAAAAAAAAGAGATTGACAAGTATTTTCTTTAGATTACTAGTTGGTTTAATCGATAAAATTTACTTATACAATTATTATTAATATTTTTCCAAGTTTTCCATCTATAAAACAGATCAAACTAGGTAACCAAATTTCTTTAGCAAATTGCGATGCGAAATGTATTTTTCAAACTCCTGCCAAGACCACTGCATGCTCCACCTTACCATCTAAATAATTAATTACATATTTTCTGGTTGCTGAGATAATTTCGATGGCTAGATGATTTTTTATTTTTAAATGAGAAGAAGACGAAGAAGAAGAGAGGCTTATAGGGAAAATAGAAAAATTAAGAATGTCCCATCAAAGACTATGTTATGTTTGTTTATTGGCGTTAGATCTCAACCACATGCAAATACAATAATAATGTCCTCTCTTCTCCGGCATTTATTGAGCATTAGGCAGTGTGATGTCCTCCCATACCAAATTTTATCCGAATCATGCCATCTCTAAGTTTATTTAACCAAAGAACATAAAGGTACTCATAGTTAATCAAATATATATCCAACGAAATTTGATTGTTCAGGCATCGTTGTCTGTTAAATTGTATTTAACTATTTTCGAAAGATTGATTTAATTTTTATATCTATTTAATCATGTTGTAATTTGAAAATTGAATTACTAGAGCGTAGGCAAATTATGTTAAGTTGAGGCTCAACTATAACTAAAAACTGTAAGTTTTGGTTTTGGTTTGAGTTTTACTTGTTGGAGTACCTACAAGCCTACCCAGAATAATTATTGTTAATCATTTATTAAATTAATTGGTTTCTTGATTTAAAAGAATAAGAAAGATAGAGAAGAATGGATAATGGTCGGATAATGCGGCCGGAGACATGCTTCATTCCCAGGAAACCTGTTTTTTTTATAGCTCAACCTTTGTTGACTCTCCTCCAACTCTTTTATTTTAATGTTTTTTAATATTGATGGCTATATAATCATGAGCTTATCCACAAACAATGTTATAACCAGACTCATTGTTTGCCCAATGATGTATACAACTAATGTAAGTATAAAAATACTATACAACTTTATTTGATTAAAACGACCGAATCCGATGAAAACAAAACATACAAATGTCCAAAACACAAACACAACTAACGCACTTGATCACTCTACATTTTTTTAACAGCAATGACAAACCCACTTTAAAAAGGATAAAGATAATTTTGGTCTAAGGTACATGTCTTTTTCTAGACATTCCGAAATTTATATTGTTCTACTCGGTGCTAATTTTCAATTTTTTTACTAATGAATACTCGATCAAGATGATTTGATAAACAAATAAATCTGGTCACTAATAGTATTTGAAAACAAAATAAAACTTAGTTGATGTTTATAGCTACTAGTTACTATACCATAAGAAAAAGTGGTGATTGGTGGTGAATGGTAATTATGTGAATTGTTAAGAGAGGTAAAAATAAAATAAACTGAAATAATAATAAAATAAAGGTAGTTGGTGAGGGCCCATCCAAATGGATTAATCAGCGGCGAAGATAAACTGAAAGCCAATCAGCATTCCAGCTGTCTTGCCACGTGGATAATGTCTTGGAACCGTTAACTTGCTCTACTCCGACCACGTGGCAGTTGAAACAGATAGAGTTGGACCAAGTTGGTGATGCACATGACGAATCCCACGTGTCATTTCCTTACGCGCGAGACCGTCTGATTGGTTGCAAATGGATGGAAGCCGGTTCCCGATTTGGACATTATTTCAAAAATATTTGTTTATGCGACTATCAGTTTTTTTTGGGTAAAAACTATCAGTTTTTTTTTTGGTAAAAACTATCAGATTTTAAAATCTTTTTTATTATTTTTGGTTGCGAGAGAAGTACAATTAAAATGTTCATATATATCCTACCGTGTAGTAGACGAGCAAACATTTACAAGTCAACAATGAAGAAAAAAAACACAAGAAATAGTTTGTTACAGAGTGTACGTTGATTTTTCTAATGGCATTATGCAAGCGTGAAAGGTGAAACTACAAATGTTTGCTTTACTTTTTAGAGTATTTTACCCGTTCTGTTTTGCTAATACTTTTTTATTCATGTTCATATATCAAACATGCAATGATCTGTTTTCTGCCAATTATGTATGTTGATATTAAAAAGAAAACTAACAAACAATATATATTGTTTATCTCTTCCAACTGGAATAGACGATGTCACTGTTTCTTTTCGTCTAAATAACGTTTGGAGAGAAAACAATGTATAAGGAAAAAGACTATGGGATTATAAAGGCGAACTAAACTTTTTAAAAAAAGTAGGAAAGACTTATCGTAAACGTGAAAGGAATTCTAACAAGTAATACATCTCTTTTTGATAATTTGGTTTTCTAACCCATCCTTCTTCACCATATATTCATTCCTAGAAGATTAATTGTGCATGTTTTTTTAATTAAACTGTTTTTCCCCCATAAACATATAACACGAGAAATTTTAAGAAAATAAAATGTCTCAAAAATTTTTTTAGAGAAATCATATTTTAAGAGTGACAAAAGAAGCAAAAAAACGTTTAAGAAATTTCTACTCGAGTATGGGTGAATTTTTAACTAACAGAAAAGAAAGAGTGTAGGTGACTATTGAAAAATCCTTTTTCTTTCCTTTTTTGACAACGATTTTATTTCTAAATTATAATTTATAATAATATTTTTTTTTTCATTATATATATGTGTACACGTGAAATAGAATGCAAGTCCAAATCCTATAAGACGTATTATGTAAGATAAACAAAACTAGGAGATGGATATTTTAAAACTATAACATTATTTGACCATGCATAAAATGTTTATAGATTGTATAATTATATGGACCGGTGGTTGCTTGAGTCACATGATCATATCATATTGATGGTTTAGAACAAAAGACGAGATCATAAATGGAATAAATTTCGACTTTCGAGTCTTTATTTATCAGAGTATCATTAACCAAATCCGTGGATGAGATATATTCTCCTCAAAGGATGACTTATTTAGTTATTTGAATTCAAAGTTAAGGATCGTTGAGGAAGCATACAAGGAAAGATACGATAAGCAGATAATCTACAAATTCCTTTCACATACTTTTCATATATATGTTCCTTTTTAAGTCTTAAATGTAACAGTAATGACTACTACATCTAAACAGATTCGGTTAAATATCACCCATTAATTTGTAGTCTTATTCAATAAAAAACTTAATCATCGATAGTATGTATAAATATCGATGAGATGGAAATTTCAACTTGAAGAAAGAATTAAAAAAAAAAAACAAAGTCAAAGGGAACAACAGCTTCGAAGTAGTAACTATTCGAAAGGGACCGAGACCAAACTCCAACCTTCCTCGTATTATTTTGGATAAGCTTCGCATCTATATTCCTCCTACTTCTTCCCTCCATGTGCCCTTACCTTTTCTTCTTCTTTATTCATCCCATTCCCACGGCACCGTCTATAGGCTTATCCACACTAAAATAATCCCCTTTTATATGATTTTTTATTTTATCGTTTTGTAAACTAATGTTTATAAAACTCGCCGCGTTTAAAATATTAATTATACGTTATGAGATAACGAAAACAGGGAAACAATACAATATTGTTTAGTTAAGTTAAGCAAATGTATCTCACAAAAACCGGTGGACTACATTCTTTTTCAGTATCTAATATTTTAACAATAACTCATCTTTACTATATGCCTGTGTAGAAGTTTTACGTACAAGTGTAACCTGATCTGTTGAGCTGATTAATTCAGTCTTTAATTAGATTTTTGTAAAGAACCATGTTTTAATTTTGTAAAACTCGGAAAAAGGAGGTTTCTCCATTTTGTTAGTTTTCAGTGATGCTCTTAGAATCTACTGCCTTCTAGCTATCTAATTATTATTATTTTCTTTCGTTCTTTCAGCTCTGTTCACAACGCAACTAAAGAATTTGATGTAGTTTTGTTTGTTTTCATGTTTAGATATACATACTGCTTAAGACTAGTACAATTAAGAATCTAGGATACAATTGATTTGATATAATAAATATATTTCAAAATTACTTGTTTATATATACAGACAACAACTTTGTCTCCATTATAACACATACGTGATTTGTTCTTTTATTAGATGAACATTTTCATTTTCTGTATATGTGCATCTTACAGTTACTAAACTTACACTAGCTTTCTTTTATGTAATAGATTACATATGTTATAATTCTAGTTTACTAATATAATATTTGAAACGCTATGTGCATGACTTGTTGACAGTGTTGCTCTAGATATATGTGTAAATAAATACCAATGCTATTAGTAAAATTTACAGTTAAAAAACTTAATATTATTTTGCTTTGAACAAAAATATACAGCTTGTAAACCACACATTTGTGGTCTTCGGAAAGAAAATATTATGAACAATAAAATAGAATTTTAGTGGGATCTACTCATAAATAAGTGAACCCATAACGTATGATTGGCTTTCAAATTATGTAACTGCAGAAAATTTTGTTTTCTTATTTGTATAGTATATCGCAAATTCTAGTCAGAAGTGTATGTCATATGGTGTAACAGGTTACGAACAATATATGAAATTAGCATATATATATATATATATATAAACTGCAACAATGTTGCTGTTGTAGATATATCCAAATATATATTTTTCTTTTTGCGGTTGTAAATGACAAGAGATAATACTGAAATAGTGAAATTTAATACTCCCTATTAAGCTGTTTATTTTTGTTCCTTCGAAGGATAATTTCGTACCAAATACTACTACATTTTTTTGGTTGTGTAGATGAATGCACATTCGTTTAGTTAGGGCAATTATTTGACTTATAATGGAAACAGTACAAAAGCAATAAAACGATTATCTTATTATTAAATATAGAAGATTAAAGATTATCCTCGCCTTGCAGCCCAAAACAAGAAAAATATTATCCTGAAATTAATCCACAGTCCCACGACTGAATTTTTTTTCCAATTTTCTAAATAAATAAATTAAAATTTGAAAATAACCTTAAGGAACTAAAAAAAAAAAAGAGACCGCGTCTCTCTACGCTGACTTTGAAAATAGTCGCGTCGGTCTAATTCCACACGCCTTTTCCCCTTCCCCTATCCACTTCCACACCTCCCTTCCTCTCTCTCTATCCATTTCTCTCTCTATATATATACTCTCACCTCGTATCATTCCACTCATCGAAAATCCAATTCAATTCTTTAACCAAAACTAAAACAGAGTTTCGAAAAGATATAGAAAAAAAAAAATACAAAACGCAGAGAGGAAGAAAATGGTTGATATGGATTGGAAGACGAAGATGGTATCATCGGATTTACCAAGCAACTCACCTAAGCTTTCTTCAAAGCTCCACGTCACTATTCCGTCTCCGTTCAAGGTCCCTGTCTCCTCCTCTCCCATCTCCTGCTCCGCACCCGCCGCTTGCTCTGCCTACGAGCTCTACCTCCGCCTCCCGGAGCTTAGAAAGCTCTGGTCATCTCGTGATTTTCCTACCTGGACGCCTGAACCGATTCTCAAACCGGCTCTCCAGGCCTTGGAGATCACTTTCCGATTGGTTTTAGCCGTTTGTTCCGACACCAGACCGTACATCAACCACCGCGAATGGAACCGACGGTTGGATTCGCTTCTCACGAACCAGATCCAGCTCGTGTCAGCGATCTGCGAGGAGGAAGAGGAGGAAGAAGAAGAAGAAGGTGGATCAGCTCCAGTCGGCGATGGACGGAGCTCGCTTAGCCTGCTCCCGCAGCTAGCCACGTGGCGGAAATCGGAGGCTATTGGGAAGAAGGTCTTGTGTACGATCGATAACGAGATGCGTCGGTGTAAGTACACGCTCGGTCTCGGGGAACAAAACATCGCCGGTAAACCGAATCTCCGGTACGACGCGATTTGTCGACCGGAGGAGCTATACCGGCTAAAGGATAACCCATTCGCGGATCATATCGATAACCAGGAGAATCAAACGCTCTATATCCTTCACCAGATCCTCGAGTCGTGGATCCACGCATCTGGGAATCTCCTAAACCGAATCGTCTCGAGTATCGAGGAAGGAAGATTCGGGAAAGCCTCCAACGATGTGTTCATACTCGAGAGGATCTGGAAGCTTCTCGCGGAGATCGAGGATCTTCATATTCTAATGGATCCGGAGGATTTTCTCAAATTGAAGAAGCAGTTACAGATCAAATCGACGGGGAAAAACGACGCGTTTTGTTTCAGATCTAAAGGATTGGTGGAGATGATGAAGATGTCCAAGGATCTGAGACAGAAAGTGCCGGCGGTTCTGGAGGTTGAGGTTGATCCCACCGGAGGACCGAGATTGCAGGAGGCGGCGATGAGGCTGTACGCGAGGAAAGGAGATTGCGATAAGATACATCTGCTTCAGGGGATGCAGGCGGTTGAAGCGGCGGCGAAGAGTTTCTTCTTCGCGTATAGGCAGCTTGTGGCGGCGATGATGGGAAGCGCGGAGACGAACGCGACGGCGAGTCAGGAGTCGTGTGACTCACTGAGTCAGATATTCATGGAGCCGACGTATTTCCCGAGTCTTGACGCGGCTAAGACGTTCCTAGGAGAGTTTTGGAGCCATTTGGGATGAAGAAACGAGGAACAAACAATTTTTTTTTTTTTTTTTAATTTTAAATCCCGCTTGCTATTTATATAATTTGATTAGATGTAATGTAAGTTACTGAAAATTTTGGAACATCATATTTGAATACAAATTCATTTTTATATAATCTTTCGATTTTTTACTTAACAATCCACATTTGAGAAGTATACTTGTGTCTTAATCCCGAAAATGGATGGTCAGTCAGGTAACGAGTAACGACTAATCTTATGCTGATTAATCGTCGTCAACGAATCAGCACCTACCGTTTTTAGATGTAAGTATAAGATGAAAACACATTTTCACTATTATTATTGTTATTAGATGATAATCAAACAAAAATTAAACTAAACTAGTCAACTAGATGCGGTGTAACACGGAAATATCAAACGGATGATGACTAAACAAAATCCTCAAATAAAAAACATGCAAGTTACGTAGGATCAGTACCACTGTATGAGACGACATTGTCTTAAACAAACTGTGAGGTTATTGTGCACGTGTAAATGGTTTTCCCATAATTAACACCTTCGTAATATTAGAGGAATGTTTTATTGAGACTTTTCGTTTGTCCAAGTAAACATTAAATGGGCTAAGTAAATAGGCCCATTAGCTGCTAACTTATCTCCGCAGAATTACATGAGTCTTCTTCTTTCCTCCTCTTTCGCTCGCATCGAAAGCCCTAAATCTCCACTCTCGCGCCTTTTGCCGTTCTCGGTTCTCAGAATCTCAACCATGGCGGCGGCGAGCGAGCACACCGTCTTGCAGTTCGTGGCTCCGTCATCGACAGCCTCCGCGACTACCCCTGTGCTCACGGCGAGGATCCATCCTCTCGTTATCTTTAACGTCTGTGACTGCTTCGTGAGACGTCCCGACTCGGCCGAACGAGTCATCGGCACTCTGCTCGGATCTATCCTACCTGACGGAACTGTCGATATCCGCAATTCATACGCCGTTCCTCACAATGAATCTTCCGATCAGGTTCGACTTTTGACCTCTGATGCTCCTCCTTCCTCTCGAATTCTAGATCTGTTTAGTGATTAGATATGATTTTTGCTTGTGAGAATGTGAGGTAAATAAGAGATGTGTAGACGAATTTAGTCAGTTTCAATACTGTTCGATACAGCTAGCAGATGAGATTATTTTAAAATTAGCGATTCATTTTAAAATTAGCGATTCAATGTTCTTAAAGATCATTACATTTTGTGTATTTTGTTTGATTTAGCTTTTCTGGGTTTGTGAATGGTCTCCTATGGATGCAGGTTGCTGTGGATATTGATTACCACCACAATATGTTAGCTTCGCACCTCAAGGTGAATCCAAAGGAAGTAATGGTTGGCTGGTACTACTCAATTTCACTCATAGTCCCTTAACTTATTAGTATTCTGTTTGGGATAGAGAATTAGTTCTCAATTTGGAAAGCTGATAAAAACAACTTACTTTATTGATCTGCAGGTATTCTACTGGTTTTGGGGTCAATGGAGGTAGTGCACTGATTCATGATTTCTATGCTAGAGAAGCTACCAACCCAGTTCACCTAACTGTGGACACTGGTTTTACAAATGGTGAGGGTACCATAAAAGCTTTCGTCTCTTCGAACCTTTCACTTGGTGATAGGCAACTCGCTGCACAGTTTCAAGAGATTCCTGTTGATCTCCGCATGGTTGAGGCTGAGAGAGTCGGATGTGAGTATTCACACTCTGATTTATCTTCGATATCGGACTTTATTAGTAACCAGTTCCATATACGTATATGTCTTAGTACTTCAGATTCTTCATGCTTGATTACAGTATCTAGAGATTGTCTCTCGAATGGTTGTGAATGAGTGAATTAAACTGAGGAACTTATTAGTCTTTGTGTGTTTCAACCATTTATGGATTTATCGTTTCTTAGTTCTGACTGATTAAGAAAACAACTATTTGATTCTGCAGTCGATGTCCTGAAGGCAACATCTGTTGACAAACTCCCAAATGACTTGGAAGGAATGGAGCTAACAATGGAGAGGCTGTTGACTTTGATCAACGACGTCTACAAATATGTCGATAGTGTCGTGGTGAGCTTATTATATCCTTTTATGTTAAAACAGTCTGTCAAGTAATCCAGCATAGATGAATATGATCTTTGATACATAGTTTGATGAAATTTCTCAGGAAGGTCAAACATCTCCAGACAACAATATAGGACGATTCATTGCAGATGCAGTAGCCTCCCTTCCCAAACTACCCCCACAAGTGTTCGATAACCTCGTGAATGATAGTCTCCAGGTAAAATGATCGCAAATCTCAAAGCCATAGTAAAGCACGTTATAAAAAAATGAAAACTAATGGATGTGTATTGGTTTTTTTTGGTCTGTTGTTACAGGACCAGTTGCTTCTGTTGTACCTATCAAGCATAACAAGGACACAGTTAAGTCTAGCGGAGAAGCTAAACACAGCTGCTCAAATGCTGTAATAAGCTTTTTGAAACACAAGGGTTTTGCTAAAAAAGTGGGAAGGGTTGCTTTTAGTTTCAACTTTATTTTTGTTGTTTTCACAAGCTTGTGTAAGATTCAGTCTCTTGTTGTAGCTTTCCTAAATTGCAATTCAGAAAAGAGACAAAAGGCTCAGTTTCATGAGTTAAAGAAGGAGATTTAGTGGGTCTTAAAGAAGATACATGAATATGAGCTATATATTCTTCTTTTTTTTTCAAAGAGCTCTATATTATTTTTTGTAATTTGCACCATCGCTAATTGATAAATTAACCTATGCTCAGAATTCCGGGTCCTGGGCTGATTATACAATGAAAAATTTACTCTCTTGGGAATGTTACGTTGAAGAATGGAATGATTTCAATATGTTACCCACACCGACGTCTAGTGAAATTTGTGTAGTCACATGATTCATTTGAATAAACATATAAAAAATGATCGTTAAGCTCAAATTTTCGAACGACATGGAATCAAGAATGTCTCAAAATTATAAAAGAAAAATTGTCGATCCTATTCTTACTTCTCATCCTCTTCATCGTCCCTATAACTTCTAGAACCTCGTCTTCATCAGAGACAAAATCAATTTCAAGAAAGCTTGTCTTTACTTTGCGAAAAAACTAAATAAAACGAGCTCGTACTAGATATGATGTTTACAGAAAGATAATAAATAAATAATAATAGACTACATAGTTATGATTTTGGATTGTTTTGAAAAGCTTTTTAAAAAACGATGTTTAAGCAAGCAGAAACCGTATACGCGATGCTTAATAGTCATACAAAACATATTTGCTTTCTCAGTAAAGATACAATACGGTTTCTCAACATACAAACCATATACAGAGAATATGCGGATCAGCGGATGTATATATCAAATTTAACAATATGTGTAGGCCGGTGTGTAGATGGGTCAACATTAAAGGCATGCATGCACTTGTAATGTAAGTGAGCAACTTGCATACATTGTTCACAGTAATCTAACTTATCATTCCACTTCACCAACCTTGACTCTATGGGTTATTGGTCGTCTTAGCCCCAGCTTTTTCTTTTCTTTATGTCGACGCAGAATCATACGTCTTCTTGTCTGAACCAATCTATTAATATTCGAATCATCTTATTTACGATCATTTCCAATTAATCTCACGATTTTATCAATTGAACTTTTTCCCTTTATGACTCAGCGTTTAGGATATCCCAAATAATCCAGCTCGGTTCGAATTTTCAACACGATCGACCTCATATTCTGACCTTAATAGTTCTAGAAATGAACTTTCATAAATCATAATACAGTAAAACCTCTATAAATTAATACTAGATAAATTAATAATCACTATAAATTAATAAATTTTGTTGGTCCCAAGTCGGGTCAATGTAAAAATACATCAATTTCGATAAGATAATAAGATAATAATTTTTTTTAAAACTTTTATATAAATATATGGTCCCAATAAAAATATAAATTAATAATTATATAAATTTATGTAAATATATGTAAATTTATTATTCTAAAATATGACTAACGCATTCTTTTTTAGTTAAAGTTGAAATCTCATTGGTTCTCATCTATCTAATTATCATATCAGTAGCTCTTATTGCTGTTTTACTATATACAATCAAAATTTATGATGATTTTTTGATGTGATAATTGATTTTCTTACATGTAAATATTTTAAATGTATTGTAGTGTTATCTTCAATTTTATCATCAATAATACTGATAGTAGCCATAGGTTTTGATAAATTTTAAACTTATGAACATGTATATTTTTTATATGGACAATCCAATATGGTGAAAAACTATTTTATTGTGATGATTATAATTTTTAATCGTAATTTAAATTATGAAATTTGTTAAAATTTTAAACTATAATATTATTCCAAATAAATTTGTAGAAAATTATATGCGAAAAACAACTTTTCTCTATAAATTAATAATTATTAATTTATAGATCACGACAAATTAATAAAATATCATTGTCTTAACATTATTAATTTATAGAGGTTTTACTGGTGTAACTAAATGAACCACCCAGTCCCTTACGTGAAATATTATCACATGATCTCTCTATTCACATTAAAACATATGGTCCCGTTTTAAACCTAACGATTCAAACAAATTATTTTTTGAGCTACATAGATTGGTAATATGTATTTAAATACGTACAAGCTAGATTATCGAATGTCTCCATATACTTTCGTGCAGGTACACAAGACATAAACGACAAGTATACGGAGAGACATAAAAGAAAACTGAAAAAATAGGTTTATTTTAAATTAGTTTATAGGAAACATATCATTATTATTTATCCTAGGTAAGTAGGTATGGCTATTTTTTAATGGTTAGTTGTTTTATAATGTATATGTCACAATCAATCCCTCGTATAGTACTAGTAGTAGGAGTAGTAGGACACTAGCAGTATTGGTGGTTATGCAGCTGTCCTGAACAATTTCGCTTTGTATTCATGTATTTTGGAAAAACAATTATATACTAGCTAATTACAACTTACCAGAGGGTTGGATTCTTTCTTTTGTCACCAAATTAGGTTTGGGTTCGATGCATTTACATGATGTGATGGGTTTCAATATATAAAAAGAGTATTTTGTCGATTAATTACCAACAATACCAATACTAATTTTGATCATCCGTGACAATAAAATATGCAGAGGGTATAAGCACGTGTAGTCAGTCCATACGAACGGGTTTTTCAACCATTTCTTCTTTTGCCATATATCAATTATCAAATGTTCCATTTCAAATGATTTGAAGAGAGTTTATTATCTTTTCTTTTTGTGTGGTAATAAAACACGACAATTTGGAGACAAATTTATTACGCTGATGAATGAACATAGCTGAAAAAACGGAATTTGAGAAAGAATGAAAAGAAAGAGATAAATTTTTTATTTTAAGTTATAGCTGATGTTGAAGGAAGAATAAAAATGAATTGGACGAACAATGCCTTGGTTCAAAGTATGTTGTTACATGCATTTAGTTAGCGGTACATGAACCCATGTTTTCAAGTATATATACATGCTATTGCTACTAATTATAAAATATGTACAAAAATATTTTGTGCACCAATGGGGTCTTGTCAAAGGTTTGACTTATGTTCGTGATAATAATAAATTATGCGAGAATCTGAAATTCCTATTTTAAATGGGAATATATATTATTTATGTTCAGGCGTGAGATAAAAATCAAGGCCGCAGAAAATGGTACCATTTTAAAGGTCATCCCCACAAACGATCGTGCGTGGGTGCCCTTTATGCATAAAAAAAAATATGATTTTATATTTTATAAAGGTAAATAAATTATGATTCAGAAAAATATGATTTTATAAATTTTTGATATATATATATATATATATATATTTTGTGACATCCCGATCCGCCCTCCTTTTAGGGACCAGGCGCGGACCGGCGATATCAATCTTAACTCCCCCAACCGCCCTTTCCAGTGAGTCCAACGCCCTCTCTAGGTCCGTAGGCTCAACGTCTTCTCTAGGTCTGTTGGCCCACCACTGTCCGACGGTCGGAAGTCGTTAGTTTGGAAGGCATGTAAGACTTATCTACTGTTCCTGCAATCACCACATGATCTTTCTCCATGCTTTGTCTTCACTCGCACGGTACCGCAGAGTACTTCCCGGTAGGTCACCCATCCTGAAATTACTCCAGCATCAGCACGTTTAATTTTGGAATTCTCTCAGCACACTTGACCAAAAAAGATAAATGCACTTTGTTGACATATATAGCCAAATCAATTCTTATAAGCTTTTCCGACTACCCAGAAATCGGGATGTTACATATATTGTAATGTTAAATTTGACTACAACTTGTATATGATCTCTAGACAAAATTAAGCATTACGGACATCTAATTTTTAATTATAAATTCAAAATATAGTACAAACTTACCGTGGATATATATTGTGGATGAAACTATTTGTGGAGAGGTTAAATCAATACTTTGAATATTAGACTTCGAATTCCCGAGTAAGAAGGACAAAAGATTGAAACTTATCTACTTCGAATTTTTCTACAAGAACTATAATGGTGAGATGAGGACGTGTATGTTTTTTTTTTACGTTTTAATGAGTTTAGATGGTGGCCATTAGGAGATGCGCGGAGGTGGCACAACTGCATCAAAGGTATTGGTTATCATCCAATCTTTTCTATTTTCATGATCTGTCGTCTGTCGATATTGAGAATCTGAAAAGATTACATCAAAAAGAAAAAATTTGTAGAATATAAAGAGAAAAAAGATGTATTGCTTTCTGCCTGAAATTAATCTAATCTGGTCCATTAGAAGAGTACATCAGTACAGCACCGGACAGTTGTAGTGGGCGACGAGACATGACGAGAAACTTTTTCTTTCCCTTCATTTTTAGATCATTTTTTATTGGGCCAATGTCAAAACAATAATTTCTTGCCTTTGGTGTTTATTTGTGATACTTTTTTCAAAATATGAAAATAAACATTTTTCTTTTCGTTTAGAAAATGCACTTGCAGCTCATAAACGCTAAATGCAAACATGAAGTCTGTTCTGTTTATCTTTATAATTAATACTATAATTTTGATTACAAGGCTAAATATTGTAGTTTAGTATGAGGGAAATTAATTATCTAGTGGTTTAAGAAGATTTGTCATGTGTGGCAAAACCATATTTTGTTGGAATAAGCTTGAAAGAAACTTGAAGTGCAAGTTTTCTAATCCTAATCAAAAGTTAGGATTAGAAAAGAAAATTTAGGATTTATCTAAAAGGAAATTTAGGAGTTATCTAAAAGGAAATTTGTTTATCTATTGGAATTAGGAGTTAGCTAATCCATTCTCTATATAAGAAGTTGCAGAGTTGTTGCAAATACTTATGAGTTGAGAGAGAGAGATTTGAGAGCCTTTAGTTTTTGAGTGATTTTTTTAAAAGTTAATAAAAGAGAGTTATTCTTTTACAAATCTGTGTTCTTAAACTTCTTTGAATTCTATATATTTGACTGTTTGCTGTGATTTAATTATACTTAATTATGTAAACCATTTACATGCTGAGATTCAAGCCTTTTGATTTGTAAAAAAATGATTTTTTAAAAATGAACAAATATCAGATTTTAAAGGGAAAAAATATAGTCATCAATCATTTATTGGCGTTTTATGATTATGTTCTTGTTTGTTATTAATTAATGATTTACTGTGAATAGTCTATGGATAATATTTAAAAATCTTTGTCGTTAATAAAATT